GATAATAGAACCCATTCTGTTGTATTGTCGATGGCTAGTAGGAAGTTTATCCAAATTTCACTGATAATTTCGACTACATATTTAAATAAGAGCTCCTCAATGTTTAGGAACAGCAAAAACTGACTGTAATGAATCACTTCCTAAAAAAAAATACATTCTTGAAAACATAGTTTTATTAATGAGTGAATGACTTTTTTTTAGAAGTAGTTTATGATGACAAATTCGTATTCATAAATATTATTTGTTTAATGAAATATTTCGTATAATAATAGACAGTGCATATAAGTAGGATAGCATGTCGATTGTTATTCGAGTCATGAGAATCAGCTGTATATGACAGTATACGATGAAAATACAGTCCTAATATTCATGGAAACAACCGTAACTGATGAAAGACAAACTTTGTTTTTCATCGTTTAAGATCTTAGGCACTTTGGAGTATCTTTTCAGAAAACCGAAATGACTGATCTCCGTCTTAGAAAAGTGTTGAATTTCAGTCAAAACTACACCTCTATTCATTCTGAGAGTGCTCAAATCGTCTCAGATATATCGTTAATGTTCGTTTAACTTTCGAGTTTGCCTGTTTATGAAAGATGACGCATGTTAACCCGAAAGAGAAACAGCAGACTTCAACACCGAATGTTTTGCTATTTTCCTCTTGATGTTATTAAAGTAAAAAAGTCTGTCGCCATCCGAAAAAATATGCTGTGAAATATTAAAATCGACTGTTTTTTTTTAGTATTAATTAATGTCTTCAAAACAGAAAATATTAATTTAATAGAAAAGATACAAGAAACTTGATGTCAAAAGAAGTATATTGTTCGAATCATCGATTTTGATGATCTTTTCTTCATTTATTATTGAAATTACTATTTTCTTTTAGAAGATATAAATAATTTGATATTTTTATCAATAAGAAATACAATATATACTCTGATCTTTGAAAGAAAAATATTGATTAAAATAATATTTTCATTTTTGTATTTTATTTTTTAATCAGCTATATATGTGAAAAGTTTTATCTTACTCAATATATTCTATCAACAAGAATGTTACAACAAAATACACGTAAATTTCATTATAAAATATATTACTATTAAGATATATAAAATCTACACTAGAATAATCAAAAAAAAACAACAAAAAAAATTAAGCTAAACATACATAAGAAATAGAAGTAATCAAAGTGTACTAACTTCTCGACAAAAAAACAACATTAGACAATTGACTAGGAAACTGTTTAGACTATCTATTGAAAATAATGATCTCAGTGTTTTCTCTAGCATGATCACGGAGAAAGTCACCATGCACCAATGATCAGGCTGGCTCTATATCTGATATTACTGAAGTTTAAGCGTGTGTATCGAACGACGCAGTCACTCACGAGAGAATCCATTCACTTGAAAATCACAGTTTAAGGTTATAGATAGGACTCGTAGTATAGATGGAAATCCTGCAAGAATTCATACCATCGAACCTTTCTTCTCTAGTTATGATCATGTTACTGCTTTTTCAGTCTACGCCGGATACCACAAGAACACTTACAACAAGAATTTTGGCTCTGCAATTCTTCTCAATAATAGGCTTCATAGTCTTTATGGTATTCTGAAAGTTTCAGTTCAAGTGGATAACTTCTTCTTAACATATCACATACCTAACAACTGAGTTATTTTTGCATTTTTTTTCTGTGAAAGTAACGCTTTTTTCAAACGTATTATTTCAAAAGGTAGACATTCATATGAACTGTAACTTTCATGATATCATAAGAACCATTCCTCAAGAAAACAGCTAATGGCACAAATTCTTTCAGGGCTTTTACCTACATTAGGAGCCCAAACGAAGACTATCCGTCAAATGGGTTCCCTTATCAGCTATGGTGACTTCATAGTGATAAACATATAATCTTACTATGGAATTCTGAGAAAATAAGATGTTTACTAATTCATTGAAATCTATTGATTAATTCAAACTTTGGTTCAATAACGATTCGATAGTATGAAAGACTAGGTTATAAAATGTAATCAATCAATCTTAACATCTCATTTTAGTCTACCGACATAAAATAATATAAATCCTAATTGAAAATTTTCAATCGAAAAAGAAAAGCCATTCGAAAAATTCATGAAATAATTTTCGAAATGTTTCTAAATTTTTAAATATACAAAAATCCCACTTCCATAAAGAAGAACCGGCATGTCGTATTTCATCAAAAGAAAAAAAAACAGTCCTTTACAATATTATACAAAAAAGAAAAAAAAAATCACATTTATAATGTTGCTTGATTATTATTATTATTATTATTTTCAACAAGATTCGTATTTGTTTGCTGTGATGATACATTTTTATCTGTATTATTACTATTTGTATCATTAGTTATTGGTGGTTGTTGTTGTGTTGTTATCCATGTTAAACGTTCTTCATAAAATCTTATAACAACTTGTGGACATCTTAGATTACATATTCGAGCTGGTACAAGATCAGCTTCAGCTGTACCTTTCCATTGAACTAATAACATTAATTCACCCTTAATAAAAACAAAAATTTATATACCCTAGCCATCCTTGTATTTATTATCTTACTGTTGCATCTGTTGCTCCAAGTATTTTTTCTGCTTCTAATCCTCGATCAAATGCAGATGCTTCTTCTGCTGTACGTATGGATAAAGGTTGTTGTTTTGAATAATTTCGATGGCTTAAAGAATCATTTGGTGGACGACCACGTTTATTTTGTATTGGTGCTTGATCAAGTGATGATTTACGTTTAAGTGATGTTGATGGTTCATGCATATAACGAGATTTTTGCATAATACGATTTTCATATTGTTCAATTAAATCTGGACAATCTAAATTTTGTTGAGGTTCCTAGAAAAAAAAATAAAATAATATTGATAATTATATCATTTTTTTGACAAAGAATCTATTTACCCAAGTATTTTCTTCTTCAGAATAACCTTTCCATTGAAGTAAATATTCTTTTCGTCCATTACGAAATCGATGACTAACAATACGTTCAACAACAAATTCTTCACCTTCATCTGCTCCAACAATTTGTTGTTTATCAGTTTCACTATTGTTCATTATATTACCGATCATATGTTTTTTAATAATATCAATTAAATAAATAAATGAGAAAAAAAAAATCTAAAACATAAATTACACCTTGACATTGCTGGTGGTGGTGATTCAATGATCGAACCAATCAAATAAGTAAATGCAAAGAAATATATATAAATGATCGCGATGAAGAAAAAAAAACAAACATAAAGGAAAAAAAATTGAAAGGAAGCAAGCAGCAAGTGAAGACAATTTGCTATTGCACTGCATTAAAATTAAACCAATTAAGAACAAGGTTGTTTTCTTTATATATATATGTTTTTGATAAATTATATAGCAAGAAAACTTAATTTTTTTTTATAGCCAAAAAAAACTATGTAAGAATAATTTTTTACTTAATAAAAAAAAAATATTTCATTGAAATATAGATGTCGTATAGTGCATACTCAATATGAGTGAATCTTCACTATCTATAGTGAGTAACTAACTATATAAAAATATAGATATATTAGCAATAATCATCTGAATCTGACTAGAAATATGTATGTTTAGATAAACGAATGATTATTGTTAATTAGAACGCTTAGAAATGAAGATCTATAATCACTTGACAATCACAACCACATGCAAAATCAATGAAAAAACCATCAAATATTACCAAGATCTTTTTTGATATGCTAGAAAAACATCCAATAGGATACAATGAACATGTAATATATTTACACATCTATACAACATGTTTAGACCTAAAGTATCGACTTAAAATCTAAAGCGATAAATTGCTCTCCTGTTATTTAATCAACGACATCCAATACGAATCATGGATATTTTTTTGATATTCTTCTCAACATTTGTAATATAATCCTTTTCCTTTGATGTATCAGATGCTGACGTTGAATCGTTCGTTTTTCTTCGTAAGCTATATGGGTTAAATGCGTTTTTTTCTTTTTTATAACATTACCATCTTCGTTCGTATTTTCGTAAGTGCATGATCAATAAGTAATAAATTTCATTTTTTTTCTGCCCTTTAATCAATACTAAATAAAATGAGAACAATATGAAATTATGTTCCATAGATCAATTATACAACCATTAAATCTTGAATATAGATTGCTTTGAATAAATTTAGAAAGTAGATGCTATTAAGATAGACTTGTTTTTTTTGTATAGTCGAACGAAGTTTACCTGGAGAGAGGGTAAACGAAAAAGTAATTATAGAAAGTAAAATTGAGATGTTTTCTTTTCGTTCGTATCAAACGAATATATACGATGATATTATTTTTATCATATGAAAATCAGAAAACTTTCAAGGTTTTATATAAAATTTTTTAACTGTTTGACGATACGTATTTTTTTTCTATTTGTTATACACATATATGAAGAAAGAATCTGTCATATTTCTCACCGCTAAACGAAATAAAAATGTCCTTGAATCAGTTGATTTTACCCGATTATTTTTTGTTAAAGAACGAGCTATACCACACCCCCTTTATTGACCCCTATATCATTTTGCGTTTTGTTACTTCATATGTTAGACGTCATTATTCTTTTCCTCATATACATTTTCAAAAGAAAGAGAGAAATAACTATCACAAGACCCATTAATATGTCGAAGTTATAAACGAGAAGACGATCGGTGGTGTGTTGTGGTAAGGAAGAACGCTTACTTGTTTTCTTTTTTTCTTCATTACGTAGGTATTTTCGATGTATGACGAAGGGCTTGTTCTATCTATTCTGTTGCCCTTCTACATAGCGAATCATATGTATGCATTGAGTACTCATATAAAGCAAATGTTTTTTTCTTCTATTATAGACAAATAAGCGCTATCGATGAATGCGGAGTACAGTATGAAATAAAATATCCATTGTATACACACGCACACATTTTTTACGAAATATGGATAAGTATAATACAACATTTTAAATCTAACTTCTCTGTTTTTAGATATGTCGATTCTTTCGCGAGTTGCATCCAGTTCATCCTTATCATTAAAATTTAATAGTGGATTTAGACATGTTTTTTATCTTAAACGGTCTGTACAATCAACATCAACAGATTCTACACGTGAAACAATGGAACTCAATAGTGAAAACCAACACGAAGATCAAGGGTAAGTATTTTTTTTCTCTTAATAAAAATTTTATTATTTTGAGTTTTTTATGTTTTTGTTTTTGTAGAACTGGTTTTTATACTATGGTAGAAAGATTCTATGATCGTGCATCAAAAATTCTCGAAGATAAATTAGTTGATGATATGAAAAAATCGAAATTAACTGAACAACAAAAACGTATTAAAGTACGTGGAATATTAACAGTGATGAAACCACCAAATTATGTATTAGCTATTACATTCCCTGTACGACGTGATAATGGTGAATGGGAATTAATTGAAGCATGGCGTGCACAACATTCATTACATCGTACACCATGTAAAGGTGGTATACGTTATTCATTAGATGTTAATTTAGATGAAGTTAAAGCATTAGCAGCTTTAATGACATATAAATGTGCTTGTGTTAATGTACCATTTGGTGGAGCAAAAGCTGGTGTAAAAATTAATCCAAAAGGTAATAAGAAACAAAATTTATCTGATAAGAAAGAAAAACAGAACACAAATTTCGTACTTTTAGATTGGTCTGAAGGAGAGTTAGAACGTATAACTCGACGATTAACAATTGAATTAGCTAAAAAAGGTTTTATTGGACCTGGTATTGATGTTCCAGCACCAGATATGGGTACTGGTGAACGTGAAATGGCATGGATTGCTGATACTTATGCATCAACACTTGGTTGGGATGAGATAAATGCAATGGCATGTATTACTGGTAAACCAATATTACAAGGTGGTATTCATGGACGAACATCAGCTACTGGTCGTGGTTTATATCATGGTGTTAATAATTTTATAAATGAAAAATATTATATGGATAAAATTGGTTTAACAACTGGTTTACCAGGAAAAACATTTATTATTCAAGTATATTAACCTATATGAATAGATTCATTTGAGATCTAATTTTGTTTATCTTCAATAGGGTTTTGGTAATGTTGGTCTTCATTCAATGCGTTATTTAACAAGACATGGTGCAAAATGTATCGGTGTACTTGAATGGGATGGAGCTATTGTTAATCCTGATGGAATTGATCCAAAAGCACTTGAAGATTATAAATTAGAATATGGTACTATTATTGGATTTCCAGGAGCAAAACCTTATGAAAATGCCGACAAACAAGAACTACTTTGTGAAGAATGTGATATTCTTGTACCAGCTGCTAGTGAACAGCAGATTACGTCAAAAAATGCTCGTCGTATTAAAGCTAAAGTAAAATTTTCGTTTTTATTAGAATAGTTTTGTTTTTCGTTTTTTTATTCGAATAAATTATTGAATAGATTATTGCTGAAGGAGCTAATGGACCAACAACACCAACAGCTGACAAAATTCTTCTTTCGAAAAAAATTCTAGTTATTCCAGATTTATATGTTGTAAGTATTTAGTTTCATAAAAATCAAATTGATTTAATAAAAATCTCTTTTATATTTATTTTTAATAAAGAATGCTGGTGGTGTAACAGTATCTTATTTCGAATGGCTTAAAAATCTCAATCATACATCTTATGGTCGATTAACATTTAAGTATCAACGAGATACAAATTATTCACTTCTTGGTAAAACTAATTATTTATTTGTCTATTGAATCGAAACAATTTTTATGAAACACGACATAAAAAGAATATTTAAATGAGAGTCAAAATTTGACTTTCCTTTCATAGACTGCAACAGATGCTAGCTAGTATCCATAACCGATACTTTTGTAATTAGTGATGAGATGGAACTTTGACGCTGAAAGCAAAAGAATGAAAAGAAAAATTTGTACGTCTATAATGAAAGTAAGAAGTAATTTTTCTTTGCTTCTTGTACGAAATTATGGAATAACGCACTTCTTGTTGACAGTACTAAATGGTACTCCATAACTTCGTACAGAAAGAAAAAGAAAAATTACGTCTTACTTTCATCATAGTCGTAAGAACATCATTATTTGTAAAACTCTTCGTCTTTCCCACGTCATAGATTGTGGTGGACCTTGACATATAATCACAGACTGTATATCATGAACATCTCGTGATAATATATGAACTACTTTCTCATTGCATTTATGAAGGATTAAATAAAAAAAGGATGGTAAAGAAGTGCGTCCTAAAACCAACTTCCTGTGATTAACCATAGCGGTTCCATTGTATTTTAGATATTAGCGTCGCAGATATTGTTCTAATAGTTTTTGTTTTATCAATCTAGAAAGTGTACAAGGTTCATTGGAAGCAAAATTCGGAAAAATGGGAGGCAAAATTCCAATTGTAAGAAAGAAGATTTATTTAGAATTTTTAAATTAAAATCCATTTTCTTATAGATTCCAAGTGATAACTTCTACAAACGTATGGCAGGTGCTTCAGAAGTTGACATTGTTCATTCTGGCCTTGAGCAAACAATGGAACGATCAGCAAATGCGATTATGGAAACAGCTAAACGTCTAGATTTAGGTTTAGACTTACGTACAGCAGCCTATGTAACATCATTGGAAAAAATTTTTAATGTATACTCAGCTGCAGGCATGACATTCGGTGTTTAAAATACTACTCAATGAGTATTGACTTAGATCTAATATGTTGTCTCGTGATCAGATATTTCATTCCAAAATTTAAATCTAAAACCAATAAACACGATTCTTGATTTTTAGATTAAAAAAAAAAACATGTTGAACATAGCCGTTCGTAATAATAAAGCTTTGTATAGGCTTTCGAGTCTTTCATATCATACATCATCTATATTGAATTCTTCATCTCAAACACCAACACAAGAAAATACATCAGGACATTTTGGTTTTTATCGTCAAGTTGAATTATTTTATGATCGTGCTGCAAAAATTCTTGAAGATAAATTAGTTGATGATATGAAAAAAACGAAATTATCTGATGATTTAAAACGTAAAAAAGTTCAAGGAATATTAAAAATTATTAAGCCATGTAATCATGTACTTGAAATACGTTTTCCTATACGAAGAGATAATGGAGAATTACATATAATTGAAGCATATCGTGCACAACATTCACAACATCGTACACCATGTAAAGGTGGTATACGTTATTCATTAGATGTTAATTTAGATGAAGTTAAAGCATTAGCAGCTTTAATGACATATAAATGTGCTTGTGTTGATGTACCATTTGGTGGTGGAAAAGCTGGTGTAAAAATTAATCCAAAAGGTAAACAAAATTTCTAGCTTTTTTTTTTGTTATGTTAAGTTTATATTCGTGTGTTGATATTAGACTGGTCCGAATCAGAATTAGAACGTATTACCCGCAGATTAACAGTTGAATTAGCTAAAAAAGGTTTTATTGGACCTGGTATTGATGTTCCAGCACCAGATATGGGTACTGGTGAACGTGAAATGGCATGGATTGCTGATACTTATGCATCAACACTTGGTTGGGATGATATTCATGCTAATGGTTGTGTTACTGGTAAACCAGTTCTTGTCGGTGGTATTCATGGACGAACATCAGCTACTGGTCGTGGTTTATATCATGGTTTAGACAATTTTCTTAATGAAGCTTCATTTATGTAAGAAAAAAATTGAACAGAGTTTGAATTACTCAGACCAAGAAATACGGGCTGCTTTCGTTAGGAAAAATGGTAGGAACTTGGAAGCGAGAACCTGCTTGTTGATTCTGCTCGATAACAGTTAGTTAGGACCAGAACTATTATCTATTTGAAAGTATAATTTGCTTCATTGCTTTTTGAATAACTTATGATAGAAGCATCATAGAGACCTACGCTTTTCATCATTCAAGAGAGAAACCCCAGTAGCAATAAAATATATCGACATTTGATAGATCAGCAATTGACTAGTTAGCTGAGTTCTTGGTGAAGATCTCTCGAAAAAGATATGCTGAAGTTATTTCTCTTTCGAACTACGCAAGGTTGACATTTCTAGCCGATTTGGATCAAGAGTTATAAAAGTATTGCCGAAACCTTTATATTTTAATCAATTGACCTATTATCACCTAGAAAAAGCAGTTGGGTGGTAGTTGTTTACTATACTGAGTCGAATGATGATTTTTGTGTTTAGTCTTGAATCAATACGACACTGTTATATCAATATTTCTGAAATGTCATGATCAGGTTTCGTGGAATGAAGGAGTCAAGGTTACGAATACATTGAGATAACAGAGTCAGATCAATTCGAACCTAAAAACAAAGATTATCATTCGACTCAGCGTGGTTAGTTACTAATCTAGAGCTACGCTTTCAGGTGATTAGACATTAATTGACTGGAAGCGAGAGCCTCAGGAAAAGTCATCAACACTCGCGAACGGATTAAGGAAGTAATGTTGACTTTGCTCAGATCGAAGGAGAAATAGCTTTCAGCATACCGTTTTTAAATATCTTCATCAACAATTCATTTGACTGGTCAATGGCTCCGGTTCTTCCGTTTTGACTGAGGAAAACCGCAAATCTTTATGATGTTCCTACAAAAATTTATTCAAAAAACAGTGAAGCACATTATATATGGGAATAGATAGCAGAAAAGTTCGGTCACTGAATTTCTGCTTCCAAGTTCCTACCATTGTTTCGAATTTTTCACCTGAAAATTCATGGATCTAGACTCTGAAGTTATTGATTTTGGATAGTTATAAAATAATACATTTCTTTAGGGGTATGGTTGGTCTTTTACCTGGTCTTGCTGGTAAAACGTTTATTTTACAAGTATGAATGAAGCAACAAAGCTATTTGTTTTATTGTGAAAGAAAAATTTTTCCTTTGTAAGGGCTTTGGTAATGTTGGTCTTCATTCAATGCGTTATTTGACAAGGCATGGTGCAAAATGTATCGGTGTACTTGAATGGGATGCAGCTATTGTTAATCCTGATGGAATTGATCCCAAAGCACTTGAAAATTATACAATTGAACATGGAACAATAAGAGGTTTTCCAGGTGCTAAACCATATGAAAAAGAGGCGAAAGATGATTTACTGTGTGAACCATGTGATATTCTTGTACCAGCAGCTAGCGAAAGACAAATAACTTCTGATAATGCTGCTCGTATTCAAGCTCGAGTTATTGCAGAAGTAAATTACTTTTCGTTTCTATCATTATCAAAAAAAAGAAATAATTTATATATTTAGGGTGCTAATGGTCCAACAACACCGGAAGCTGATACTATTTTATTAAAGAATAACGTTCTTGTTATTCCAGGTATGTTGAAAAGACGAAAAGAAAGAATAACAAATGGATTTTGTTTTTTTTTTTTCTAGATTTGTATATCAATGCTGGTGGTGTAACAGTATCTTATTTTGAATGGTTAAAAAATTTGAGTCATGTTAGTTATGGTCGATTAACATTTAAATATCAACGTGATACAAATTATTCACTACTTGGTATGATTTGTTTTTCTCGTCTCATAAGCATGTATCTTTGATTTTATTTGTATTTTATAGAATCAGTTCAAGGTTCATTAGAATCCAAGTTTGGTCGTATGGTATGTAATTCATAAATATTGATTGTTTCAGTAGTAGACAAAATTCTTTCATTCCTTGTATTTCGGTTACTATACATGTTGGAGGTCTCAGCATTTTTGTGCACATACTAGTGATGAGCGAAACCATTCATTGTTATTTCCGATCTCGATCAGGAAGTATTATTGGTCTTGGTTTCGTGCTTAGTAATAGATAGACTACACGACTAGTAGAAGATATTACTTCCAATGAAAAAGTGTTAATCTCATGATCGTCTTGCCCGTATTTATCATAACTCTTAAAAAGAAGAATTTTATGGATCGATCCATTTTTTAGTAATCTATTGCAGTTATCTACTGTATTAATCTTATCGAAGTCGATTAACCCTTCATAGTATCGTAAACTTTTTTCCATGACTATTCGAGTGTAAAAGAACTATCGGCTGGTTTTCGAAGGCTATAACTCCGTAATAGTTCAGTGCATTCATCTGAAACTTGTACATAAAATGTCATCCGAATAAGTAGAAGACTTTTGTCTACTACTGTACTACTTGTCTAAAGTCATTTTTATTTATTTTTTTATTTTTTTTTTTTGGTAATTCTAGGGTGGAAAAATTCCAATTGTAAGTATAAAAGTTCTTTTGTTTTTGTTCTGATTAAATTAATTTCATCATGATTCTTTTTTAAAACAGAAACCCAGTGATGAATTTTTAAAACGTATGGCTGGTGCATCTGAAAAAGATATAGTACACTCAGGTCTTGAACAAACTATGGAAAAAGCAGCACGTGCTATAATGCAAACAGCAATTCGTTATGATCTTGGTCTTGATATTCGTACAGCAGCATATGTCAATGCTATTGAAAAAATTTATAAGGTGTATGTTAGTGCCGGAATTACATTTGGATCATAAATTTTGATATTGATTTTTTTTCCCATATACGCGAACCTTTATAAAATAAAAAATAACAAAAAACGTAAAACATCATTTCATGTCAATCTTTTTGCTTCTAATCATTTTCTGTTGTCATTGTAGCTTGCTTCATTTTGATTTTATTTTCTAGATTTGGTCTGTCTAATATCTAATCAGATTATTTTTTTGTAGACATTATGTAAGAATAAAATTTAAGGGAAATCCTAATCGAATGAATCTCGCATTTTCATTTTATAGGAAATAAAATGAAATAGTATTAACTAAATATGAAGAGAATAAACCGCAAAGTTCCCATATAAATGAAAATTAGAATTCGTATTGATGTTAATGAATAACAAGGAAAAAAGAAAGAGTGAGAGAGAACGAGGATTGGGAGTAAAGTGCATCTTCCTTCCTTTCTTGGGCTTTACAAGAGCGGCTCGACCATAGACTCAAAATTGCTCAATGCCTTCTTCTATGAGATGGAACTCTGTTTTCTTTACGACGAAAAATATCGAGAGCCTTTTAAAGATGTTTATATCAAAACTAACTGAAACGTAGTCTAAAAATACTTCTCGAAATGTTCTATAAATCTAATAAGCTGCAAGCATTAATGCAGGTAAATCATGCATTATGCAGAAGTTAATTATGAAGAATATAATAAACTAAAATGTTACGATAAAAAGGTGTACGGATTCAAATTTTAGTCTAAGTCCCAAAGGTCACTAGAAAAGAAGTCAAAAAAACTTCGTCCCGTATATCTCTAGTTATGATGTGTGTCACAATTTGTCTACCAAAGCTTTTAAACTTTGTAGTAACAAATAAAAGTAACATCATGATAACACAAAAATCGCTTAAAGAAAAAAACAAAATCAAAAACATCACAAAAGATGAAAATATATGATTATATGAATGTTGAGAACCTTTTTCAAAATGAATATTTATTCAAAATAGGCTGTCTAGATAAACTTATCATGTAGGTAATATAAATTCTCACAAATATGTAGAACCTTCAATTTCTTGAATATGATATGTCATCTGAAGAGTTCGATTGATATTTATTATTTTCTATCAGAAGAAAATTAAAAAATAACTTGAAACACTATGTTAGTATCAAAAACAAGTCGACAAAAATTTATCCGATGTTTTATTAGTGATTCATTATGAAGATTTTATCAGAATGAAGGAACTACAACACGAAAAAAAGAAATATTCTGAATGTGTCACAGATCATTATCTAACAACATTTAACAAATATTGAAATTGTTTGTAATTTATTACAATCATCATTCTAAATATATGAATTGTATCTATTACAGAAAGTTTTATATTTTCAGTCAAAATCGCAAAAATTATCAAACAACCAAAAAAAAAATAATCATCTATTGAAACAAGTTCTAATATTTCTTACATTGCATTGTGACACTCATTTTGATGTACATTTGTTCATTTCAAGTGGATATTCTTCGACGACATAAAGTGAAGAAGGTGTAACATCCTGCAGAATAAAATGAGAGCTTTCATTACGCGAAAAGTAACGACCATAAAATCATGGTTGATCTAAGAACTGTCAGAATTTTAATTTGAGTGGCATATTATGAAGTTTGTACGTCTGAAATGTTTCATTTTTTTAGGCAATTATCATGAATGTGGACACTTTCGAGGTTAAAAGTGTTAAGAAATATTTTCCGTCGGCAAAAAAGGATGATAAAATTGAGTTGTTTTTTATAATTGTGTAAGTTGTTCTTGCATCATAAATATTGAAAACAAAAACAATAGTAATTCAGTTGAGAAAAAAATCTGAATGCGTCTCCTAATCTTGATCAAGTTAGAACTTACCTGTATATTCCTCTTCTGCTCATTCACTTCTTCCATTATATATCTTGGAGTGAGTGTATACAGCAAATGCTTAGGAATCTGTCGTTATTTTAAAGAAACATCATCTTGAGCAAAAACTTTTTTTTTTACATCGCTAAAGTTTCAAGAGCCGAGACAATTCTAATAATCCAATTTAAGAAGCACATTTTTTGCTGTTTCTATCAATATTGTATCTAAGTATTGATCATCAAAGTTCATCTGATGACTGTTTAACATGATCGTCATTTTCTATAATTCATATGAATAATATACATTTACTACTATTGTAGTACGAATAGTTTTAAAGATTTAAAAAAAGAAAAAAAAAAGTATTTCTACAATAATCTATAATAAAAATGGTAGTCATAAGTCATAGATCATTTTGAGTATATATATGTATTTTATTTCATACATCAAAGCATCATTATTTCTTTTAAAAAAATTCCAGATGATTCAATTATCAAATCGCGTAAGGATACATTTGAGACAAAAGAAATTTTGAAACAATGCCTAAATCTTCTTTTGTACTTGTAGTTATCCCATAAAATCATACATATGTTATATTAACAATTTCACGCTTTGATAAATATAATTAATTATTCTTTACATCTTCTCGACAGATGCACACGCATGTATACTAACAAATATTAGCATATTGCCGAAAGAGTTATGAGAACATCTTTGTTCAATGTAACACAAAACTAATAACGAACAGATTCAATGTCAACATGAATTTTTTCATACAACTGATATCTGTAAGAATTAATATTAACATAATCTAGTGACGACATATGATGTTGAAAAAATCAAAGTATTTATTTAAGACTGATGACAAAAATAGTCTGTGTATTAGTTTATTAGTCAAAAAGAATTATGACTTTTTAGATAATCATCAAATTTCAGTTAATGATTTTGATTCATCCTTTAAAAATCGAATAATCAACAGATTGAAGCATTGACTATATTTCATAAGAATAATAATATATATTTATATTGAGAAAGAATTCAATCTCAAAGATGAAAGTAATGTTACATAAACTATTATAAAAGAAATATGCCCAGCATCAAAATTCAAGACAATTTATAATAACTTGTAGGCATTCTTTGATAAGAAAGTATCTAATTATATCGTATTTCATTGATGTGACCACACACTATATTATGAACAAGCAGAGAAATAAAAGCATTACTCGATAAAAGAATACTTGGGGTTACACAATATGTTGATGAATAAGAATCTCCATCGATCAATTGGTCTATTCACACGACATTATTAAGCATTATGATCTATTGAAAACAAAATGAGTACTTTTAAATTCCTGTTACTCATACCAAGGACATAAAATAACAAAATGTGACTATTTAAAATTAACGGAAGTTTTATATGCTCTTGACATGCCTTATATAATCATAGCTTGGATGAAACAAAACATTCTTCACAAGTTTTACCTGAAAAATTTATGAGAGAGAATTCAATATGAACATCATTTACAAGAACTTATCAGACAATTATGAGAAGAATAGACATAGTTGTTAATAATGAATGAAAAGTTTAATATTATCGATTCAACAGTTTAACAACATATCTCTATAGCGTTACATTGTTTATATTATAAGATTTTTCTACTTTTATTCTTATCTAGGAAAACAAAATAGAAGATTTCATAGGACTATAAAATCGTACAATAGAATCAAATCTAGGTAGAATGTCATAGATTCTGTTAGCATTACATAAGATTCATAAACGAATCGCGACTTTTGTCAGGATCTCATCAAAAGATTCGTTTTAACAAAAACATACTCAACATAGTTTATCAAGACTAGAGATGTGTCGAACCAAGATTTTTTAATTCCAATAACTTATCTATCGATTCCAATCATAGTTCTTGTTCGGTCATGGTAAAGTTTTATTTTTTTTTTGGCCTCGAATATCTCTAGTCAAGGCACTGCAATGTATATCATATTATAGAATATACACTATAAAATTATACAATTAAAAAAAACAATTTGTAGTTCACAATTTAGATCAATCAATTGAATGATCATAGATTTCTATGAACTGTTATTCAACAGTTCGTTACAATATATTTATTTCTTATGCTTTATTGGAATTGTTTTAAAAGATTATATTCAGCTGCATCGATTCTTTTTTTTCCGACTTGTCTTGCTGTAATTGCTCTTGTTCTATTAATTATTAATAATGCTTGATTACTAGTAAAATGACAAAGTCTTAATAGTAAATATGTTATAGTACCAGTTCGATGTAAACCAGCTGCACAATGAATAATCATTTTAACTGGTGTTGTTATTGTACTATTTAAAAGAAGATCACGAATTGTAGGTAATTGTTCCATAAGTAAATCAATTGTTGCTTGTGATGATGTGAATATGGAAATCTCAGCACCTGCTATTGGTACATGTAATGATTCAATATCTGCCGATTTGATATGATTACAAATATTTGTTTGTTTTATTTCATTATTATTCAATAATGTAAATATATGAGTAACACCTAAATCTTGTCGAAATCGTTTCAAATCACGTCGACGTGGTAAAGGCCAACAAGCAATTTGACTATAAGATGATATTGATACAAATTGAGGTTGTTTTGGAGCAGGTAATGATGGAATAGAAGCATGATCATCATGATCAATAAAAAATACTTCACTAAGAAGATTATTTAAAATTTTAGTAATAAGTTCTTCTTGTGATTCATTATTATTTTGAATTAAAATTCGTAAATGATATGTATATAATTTATTATTCAATGAAAATTCTTTTTGATATAATAAAGATGATAATTCACTATATTGTACATTTTTTAATAGAACAATCATTGCATATTCACTATGTAAATAATTAATACCTGTAGTTAAATAATATTCAATTATATTTTGATTACATTCTAATGATATATGACAATTATTTTTTGATATTGGTAGAAAATTTTTTAAACAAATTTCTTGAAATAATTGTAAATCTTCTTTAGTTTCAGCAATAATACCCAAACCAAAGTTTTCATTTTCAATTAATTTATCATCTTGTAATGTTTGTTTATTATTGTTTATACTTAACATGTCAACTCTTTTTTCTTAATATATTAATCAATCAATTAAATAAATTCGTCTTTAAAATATTCTTCTAATAGCTTCGATTCGTTTGTTGAATAATTAAATACTTCAAAAAAAAACAATTATCATATGTTATATAGGGTTGTTCGAAAAATCTGTGCAACCCATATTCTATGAAACCGTGCGATAACAAGTGCTGTATTTATTCAGCGTAATGACCTTCGCTAGCAACCACACGTTGTCAACGATCCCGCAAACTGCTCATGCCATTAGGAACGTTTGAATAAATACAACACTTATTATTGTATGGTTTTATAGAATAGGAGTTGCACGAACTTTCCTGACAACCCTATATATATACATTGTTACCATAATTAAAATCTCGTCATGATGTTTTTTTCTTTCTTTCTTCATCATTCATAACACATGTTTAGTCATGATGCAAGAACTAGCAATTGAAGAAAAAAAAACAAGATGATGAAATGCAAAATTATGCAAAGACTCACTTACAATGCAAATCAATAACGTTTGAAGTAATATATTTATAAACAAATTTCATCTATTTGAAATAGATATTATTCTGTAATACAAACCTATCTTACATATCAATCTGTAAAGAAATGTATAAGACTATACTTATACATTTTTGACTTTGTCTTATAGAGTCATCCGATCAAGTCAATAAGAAATCTACAATTTGTGTTTTGCATTCCTACTTCGTATCAAATTCATCAACTGACATAAAATAAATATATCTTTGTCCAATATCTAGTTATACATCTCCTATACATATTCATTGATGTTTAATCTTTGATACAAATGTAAATTTATACATAAAGAAAATGAACTAAATCGAATACTGTAATAATATTAAAAATTGAAGATTGTATTACAGAATAATTCAATGAGTTAGAAGATAAGATAAAGGATTAGACAAATAGCTTCATACATATATAATCACCGGTGGCCATTAATAGTTTCTATTACAAGGGAAAAAAGGCAGGCACTAGTCTAGACGAATATTTTGTTTTTTTTTTATTACAAGATACATAAAAACATATCCCGAATTGAAATAGTTAAATCATTGTTCAATCATCATAAGTAGCCATATGAATAATTTCATAAGTATCATCTTTAACATTAAAACGTAATTTCGATTTTTCCGATTGTAATCCACAACAGAAACAACAACTAAGTATTGTTGTAAATAAAGTTGTAGCTATAGCAGCAACTGTTAACCAAAAAGCTAAACCTAAACGTTCAGCATGTATAAGCCATGGATTGAAAGCTACAATAAATGCTTCTTCTTGATCCAATTCATAAGTATGTTCGGATCTATGTAAACGTTCTTGTATCCATTCATATAAGAATAGTCCTAGAGCACCAGCACCACATAAAAATGATGCTAAAGAAAAAAAACTAACAAATGCAAATGGGACTGAATAAAAACGTTTAACACAATTTATACAAAATATAGTTAATAAAGCCAAAAATGTTAATAATGGTGCAGCAACAAATAAAAGAAACATAATATAATATCGAATACGTTTAACATAATAATGAAAACCTTTTGGAGAATTTTTATATGATGGTAAATAACGTGGTAAAGCTTGGTCACCAATCCATGTTGATTGCCACATACAATTTGCTTTAGGCCAATAATAACGTGTTTCTCCATATTTATGAGAACAATCTTTTTCATCAATATATGTTGGACAATCAGGTATATTATTACATCGTGTCATCTAAAAGTCATATACAATATATCTAAGATAATTTATTAAATTTAAACTTACACAGCAACCTGTTTCTCGACACATACGTAATGGTTGCGCACAACGCTCACAAAATGGTTGTGATTCATGATCATTTAGTGTTTGTAATTTAGCAGTAAGTAAATTAATCCATTTATAATCTAAACAATATCCAAATAAACCATAACGTGAACGAAATGCATGTCGAATGAGTGCTAATTTTAATTTAACAGTATTATTAGAATTATTATTTGATTCTAAACGTTGTTGTCCTCCTATTGAGTTATAATATTGAATTAAATCTTCATCAATACGACTCCAACGTGTACTTATAAACGAGTAACAATAAAGGCCAAGCGATACAAGCATTGGTAAAACAATAAGTGTAACAAGTATACTGACCTTCATCTTTTAAGCTTTCTCTTTCACTTCGATTCGGTTTTAGTTTTTATTATAATCTATAAATGTACAATAATACATGAATCGAGCACATAGTGAGAGGATGAAAAGAAAAATAAAAAAGGACACGCTCGATTAGTATTATATGGAGAAGAAGAAGGAATATAAAAAATAAAAAGAAGACAAAAAAAGAACGGCGATGGCAATAGCATACGTTGATATAATGATGGCTGCTCCTGCTGTTACGCAGTATGCCACAGTAACGTATCTTCTTACGAGTATCTCTCTATTTTAGATTCTGACACATCATCATTCCATAAATGAGGTTTACATTCTTCTTTGTAGAAATTCTGTCTTTGGTGGCTGCAGGATGTTAACCTTTTTTTTTTCTTTCTTTCCCTTGCTTTCCTCTCTCGCTCTTGGCTTACGATTGTTATTCTCACAAAAACAATCAACGAATGAAAATTTTTTTCGTACAACCTCGACATACATACACGTCCATTAATCGAATAACAAAAAAAAAAAAAAAAAGAAAAAAAGAAAAAAGAAAGACGGCATCAGCAGTAGCAACAATCAGTTATATTGCTACTCTTTTTGTTCAATAGAACAAGAAGATGATAGAAAGAAACATAAGTACTTACAATTCTAGCAAATTATAATATTCACATACATAGACTTTTATGTATATGTATTTTGACCCTCCTTTCTGACTGCTCGTCACTTATATTATAGATATATTTATACAGATATATACAACTAAGTCGATTACGTAGTCATTATTATCAATACAAATGTTAGCATACATAAATACAATGAATGATTCATATCATTTATTTGTATGCATATATCGTGTAACAAGAGAATAGTCTAAGACTTATATGTATAGAGATATGGACAAGGTATTTTGACGGAGATTGACAAGAAAAGTGCGCTACTAAAAAAGCTTTCATCTAGCGATGAAAGACATGAAGATAATATGTATATTTTATGATTTATGGCTAGCCAAAAGCCACCGGCTGACAACTGATGAATGCCTACTCATAAACAAAATAAAAACAAAACTAAAAAGTGTCACAAATTAGACCTTGCAAAAATTTCCCGAGCAATAAAAAAATGTGTTAATTATTATTATTACATCGATGTAAACTAATGAAGCGGTATATATCTAAAAAAAAAAAAAAAAAAAAAGAAGAAGCTCGACACTTAATAATACAAGTGATAACATCAAAAGCGCAGAAAAAAAAACAAACCACATAGTTGTAACCACAGAACGGCAGAGGTAAATAAAAAGTGTAAGCAGCTGCGAAAAGAAAAAGAGAATGAAGGAGTAGTAACTGACGAAACAAGGACAGGGAAAGAGAGAAAGAAAAAATCCGATACAGACACCAATCATGTCTATGTGAATGGGAACTGACACATACGAGATTGAAAAAAAAGATTTTTTTATCATAACATATCGACTACTTGTCATAGGACTTGGACATTCTATTTTTTGCTTCAATAGGATGTACAATTCTTTCGATTACCTTGAGTTTACGAGCGACGTCTGTTGACTTCGAGGCAAATCTTTCGATTGAAATATCTAATTATCTATTATACATTTTTTAATGAAAGTTGACAGTACCATTAAATATGAGATTTATATGAACCTTGGTTTTGTCATTTCTAGACATAGAACAATTCCATGATAAGTAACTGTTGATAAAAATAACTGAGATGATAACTTCTTAAGTAAGTAGCATCAATTTACTGCATATATTAAGTCAAAATGAAAAGGTTAAGTAGCAAATCACATACTTTTGAAGGCTTCATATATATATATAAATAATGATTTGATTGACTGGAACAGTTGATATCTTTATTGTTTAGAATCATAAAAATTGATTTTCTTCTTTTTGTTTTTTTTTTTTTGTTCATAAGAATAAAACCAACCTAATAACCAAATATTTACAATTTTAATTTCTCTCTAACATTTGAAATATATAATTCCATATATAAAAAGAAAAAAAAAAGTTATGGTATTGTAATATGAAACAGAATAGTAAAGGCATAGTTTACCTTGAGTTTTTTTCCATACACTTTTATGACACAATCAATTTGCAAAATGAGAGTATATTTCAAGAAGAAATATGAAAATTGTGAGAAAGTCCTTGATGAAATTGCATCTTGGCAGTTGACAGTATTGGGTACGATGATTGTGTTAGAATTTTGATGTATGCTGTTCTTTGCATAACTTTTGGACACAATTCCAGAAGAACATGAGGTTGACATCTTGTTTTAGTCATTGAAATCTGTTCTATAACAATGGCATTTATTTTATCTGAACAAATCAATATTTAGAATGTATTTTAAGTTATACAATTTTTATTTGAAACTTTTGAATAGAATCATGAAGAAATATTTCAATTACCATAAAAAAAATAAATGTCGAATGTATAAAACGAACTGCAATAATAAATAAAGATATGAATCATGTTTTGTTATTATATGTGTGAAAAGAAAAAATTTATTAAAACGATACTCTACTCACATTTTCGATAGGACAAGTCAAACAAAAGGGCTTTGGAAGAATGTTGATGTTGACTAGCGCCGTCTGTCGATTTCTATATCGATTTGAACAATCCAACACCCGTTATATAACAGAGAAAGACAAAAAAAAAAGAACATCGGCCATTATTAATTTTTTCTACATTTACAAATAATAACTTTGAAAATTTTTCTTACAACAAAATGACTGATACACGATCTTTTTCATCATCATCATCATCTTCAGCAACAACAAATAATGTTAATAATAATAATAATACAATAAATTCAACAACATCTGTAAATCCTGATCATGATAATATCAATAATTTAACAACATATGTAAGTTTAATTGAATGAAATTTTTTATTTTTTATATATTTAATAATTAGGTAAATACAATATTTCGTCAAATGGAAGAAAAATTTATGACTGCTAGTGAACAAGTTATGAATCGTATGAATGAATTAGGTCGAAGAATTGATACACTTGAAACAAATATTGGTGATATTATTTCACATTTACCAATGGAAGAATCAAATTCAACAACACAACAACAACAACAAACAAAATCATAAAATCAAATGTTCTGTTTATATATATAGATAAAACTTATTTGTATATATATATATACATATACACTATTTGTTATTTTCATTGTCCTACGATTGATATTGTGCACATTTTTTTTTCTTACTAAAGGGAGGACTATAATTGCGTTTCAACTCATCTTAATGGTACTTTGAATATGTCATTACTGAATAATAATGATCAATCAATATGTATGTTTTTTTTTATCTGATTATCACAAAATGAGACTATTTCGATTTTAAGATTATCACTTAGGGAATATTTCTATACGTAAAGATAATATATTCGTTCTATTACAACTTTGAATTGATTTCAGGATGAATAATATGATTTTTTTTTGTTATTTTTGAAAGAATATTTATGACTATAAGCGAATGATCTTGAATCATGTCCATACATATTTGATAAGAGATTTATTATGATGTTGAAGATGTCTATAGATTTATTAAAGAGCTCATGTTTCTCTTTGTCAATATAGATAAATAATAGATAATCAAAAAACAATGTTAAGAATATATACAGAGAATCAAAACATGTCCAAATTCTATTCTTATTAATGATTCTTCCAAGTAGCTTGTCAGAATCTGTTTATACGAAATAAAATGTTTCTATCTTAATAAATAGAAGTAGGATAATCAACGAGAGTATATTTTTAGGCATCAAGATAATACAAAAAAAAAAGAGAAAGCTTTTAACGCAATTTATATAAAAGAACTTAGTACTATCGTTGCTTATTTGTGAGTTGCTACATACTGTGAATCAACATATTGTTAGAAAAGACCATGCTAATTGTAATGTGTCATGGCAGACATCAATTGATAGACATATAAAAGTCCATATTTCTTTCCCGTATCACAGACGGTGATAGATATTTATAGCTATTAGAGCGGCAACCATATGGATTCTAGTTTCTTACTATAAGTTATAACAAACATTAACAATCATGTTGCTAGAATTCTATACATGTATATTATATTACAAGACAAAAACTTTAGAATGCTTTGATTTTTAAAATAGAATAATGAGGTTTTGTTTTGGATATTAACTCGATGGATAAGATAGATAAATATTCGAATCTAATTATATTAAAAATTTTTGATAATATTTTTATCTTAGACTTTGTTTAATATATTTTAGTTAGTGAACCTCTTTACAAATAATGTACTCAATTATACTTGATGTCTATATTGTTAATAAATTGAAATTTCTTCAATACATCAAAGAATATATCAATAAATGTTAATGTATAATAAACATTGTTAAAATAGTCAGACTTTATTGACGAGATTTTCAAGTATATTATAATAGACAAATTAACAGAGAAATAGAGATTGTCTACAACGACAAACTTGTTTTATAAATATTTCGATTTTATTTTATTAACATTAAAGAATTCTTTTTAATACAACACATTTTTATCTTATTAATCATTGCGTTGTTTTTATTTTAGGAAATTAGAATAGTTCGTGAGAATGTTAAAACAAAATAGCTCTTCTATCAAAAACAACTGTTTGTCTTTATCATTCCTTATTAAAAAGAATATTGATGAAAGCACAACTAGTACAATAGTGAAGACTTAAAATATCTAGTTCTCAGAATCATGTAACACATAGGATTCTAATAAAATTATGTAAGATAAAATTTGTCAAACACAGTTGATAGAAAAAGTGTTCAACTACGATCATCATATCTTTTTTTTTTGTTAGAAAGATAAAACGTGTCTCGAAGACGTTTTCTGTATTCTTTCTAAATATTATTCCGAAAATTATTGTGAAACATGATCTAAAAGGGAGTGTTGAAATATAGGAGTAAAAGTTTGCACTCACTCTCTCTTTACATATCATGATAGACTATTTATAGACCGTATATCAATAACATCTTGTTACATTATATGAACTACTTCCTAATTGAATTTCTAGATGGTTAATAAAAAGGATGGCAAAGAAATGCATCCCAAAATAGATAAAATGAAATAATCTTTGTATGATCAACAGGAGCATCTAGATTGGGTTACATATTTCAATCCCGCAGGGATTACACTAATAGATTTTTCTTTTCTAGACTCATCTCTTGAAGGTTAAGATCAAAATCTTAACATATTACCATTACGCCTGATGGCATCTCATTTTATGATTCAATTTTTCTCTTTATATAGAATGCGGAAGCACACATCAATCATTGTTCAATAATTTTCGCACTAGAATTATCGTCTATATTTGAGTTTGATCTGTTGATTCATTCTTCCTCGAGCATATTCAAATTTTATCAAAGCTAGAAAAAAATCTAGACTACAAAGCAGATACGATGCAAATGAGATTCATCTAGCTTTTCGTGTAATGAATATTTTCTTTCGTTACACAATGTCGTATCGTCTTCCATTTCCGTTTCAATGAACACGATGGAACAATTATGTAAATATGAGAAATCAATTGAAAGAAAATAGCATTCGATGATAGTGATCAAATTGAACGATATATTTAGTTTTTTTCAATGAGTTCATCAAGTTTGTTTTACCACCACAAAAGCGATTATATCCAAAAAATGGATTTATACATACTTTCGCTTTTGAAAAAGCATCTATATTACTCATTATTTTGAATAAAACTGAACAATGTTGATGTCCTTTACTGATCTTTGAACATGAAGTATGAACTATTTGACATGCTCGTGCAAGGCAACACTTTCAACATGCATGGTAGACGATTCTACTTTCCTGATTTTTTACCAAATCATTATGATTCATTCTAAGTTTAGGGAATAATTCTGATTTTTTGGATTTCAGGTGTTCTTCCAGAAGAGTGCCGAGAATTGAAAAAAAACAGGAATTATTCAGCACAAGTAGAATAAGTCAGAATGATTTCAAAACTCAGGAATCACTGCAATGCATGCTTTTTACTAGCTTTATCAATTTGATGTCTATTAGTAGTGGTAAATCTTCAATTGACTTCTACAAGCGTGATCGATTTTATATTGCTATATGATTGAGAATTCATCACAAAGTGAAATTTTTGGTTGTTGAATTAGTTTTATTGCAACATAATCTTCTTACTATCGATTATTCAAATCTAGCTAAACTCAAGCTTTCTTTTTTCCAAACAACAATTGCCTTTATACTATTTTAGAAATAAGCACAGTAACACAAGATTGCTGTTAAGTAAAACCGACTATAGCATGTTTCATTATTTTTTCTCGCCAAATTAATCACTTTCTCATTGTATGAGTTTGGCTGTGGTAATGGTCTGTGGATGTCTGTGTAGGCATGACTATGTGTGTGTCGAAATCTCTTCTTTCCTATGTAACTAAGAGGCATTGCACCTAAGCCTCGACCGATGTTGCGCAATGAATGTCGCCGATATGGCTGATATTTCTCCAGTAGTTAGATCTAACACATTAAGGAAGAAACTCAAAATTTCAGCTCAAACAGATAAGCCATTCTGGAGATATGAACATTGCAACCCAAGCAGACAAAATTTTTGAAAAACGCGTTTAAACGCACAATCAGGAACCGCGATTGTCAGACATTAACGTTCATTCAAAAAAAAAGCACGAAAACACGTGTATTGGCGTTTTTTATAATATTTTGGGCGTCAAAACGGCAAAAATCTCAGTTTCTGAACGTTAAAACGCCTTGTTTTTCAATTCTACAATAATAGCGCGTTTTAACGCTCAAAACCTGAAGTTTTCGCCGTTTTGACGCAAAAAATGTTACAAAAAACGCCAACATACGCGTTTTCGTGCGTTTTTTTAATGAACGTTAATGCCTGACAATCGCGGTTCCCGATTGTGCGTTTAAACGCGTTTTTCGAAAATTTCGTCTGCTTGGGTATTGAAGGTTACTGTAGTTTTTTTTTTTTTTAATTTAATATTCTGTATCGAGATTAATTATTTGATTACTAATCAGAGAGATAAAAGATGTTTAAGAAATCTGCTTAATTAATTCAATATTTTTAACTAAAGATCTATTTAATTTAATGATATTTTTTATTTGTTGTTTATTTAATAATTCTCTTATAATTCTTATTTTCGAAATTCGTTTACCTTGAACAAGAAGATTTTTTTTTTGATTGTCATTCGAAGAAAATGCTCTTTTTTTTTCAAATACAATGTTCATTTCAATCGAAATATCAAATAAAAAGTTTTTCGATTCAATATTAAATGCGAGAATAACATTGAAAAGAAAAAATTATTCGACAAATACTTCAAATTAATTTATGCCTATTCTCATTTTGTTTTTCATGCAAAAGAAAAATAAAATAAGATTTAAGACAGAAAAAGTCAGAAGAAAATCTTTTTTTTTTATTTATTTTAGTTTTTCTTAAAATAATATATATAATAGAAGTACTATTTTAACATGTTTTGGTTTGTTTTTATGAGAATTAATATAAGTTAATAAAAAAAAAGAAAAAAATTACAAATAAATAATAAAGTTTTCAATTAATGATTTTAAGCACATTTCCAACAGCAAACGTTCGACCATTGTCCCGTAATGTAAATTGTCCAAGTTGAGGAAAACGATTGAATGGTTCCATACAAATAACTTGTCCAGCTTGTGATAATTCAAATATTGCTATTGCTACATGATTTTGTGTTATAAACGTTGGATTTTCTTGAGTTGTTTTATTCGTTTCATTATCAAGCAATCTTATTAATTTTTTAAATTGAACTTTAGCAACAGCTGCATGAATATGAAGTACAGTTGAATAACCTGGATATATAATTGATGTATGTTCAAGTATAGTAATCTAATAAAGAGACAAAGTAAATATATTTTATCAATTTTTATTTTCACAAAAGTTTACTTGTGCTTCAAAAACTCTTCCAAAACTACATGGATCTTGATGGGCATGACATAATATAAATCCTGATGAAATCTCCTAAAAGTTTTTGTTAAAAATTATAATTAATAATATCAAAAAGAAACTAACTTGTTCTTCAACATTTTTTAATTTAAGACGAATATTTTCTCCACAAATACAAGAATCAGTTTCAATATCATTATCGTAATAAATATTTATAATTTTTACAAGTTTTCGAATAGGCATAATTAAACATTGATCACCAATACGACAAGATCCAGATTCAATTTTACCCATAACAATAGTACCCATGTTCTACATAAAAGAAAAAACAAAATATTTTATTTTTTATGATAAAAAATGAAAATAAACAAACTTTATATCGTTTAACAATAGACATTCGAAATGGACTATCAATATAATGATCAAATACTTTTGAATCACCAAAATAATTAGTAACAGTTGATTGTCTAAATAAAAAAGAATTTAAATTTTCATGTTGAAATATTGAAAATAGAGAAACAAAAACATTATTTTTCTTCAACTTACATGGGAATTAGTTCTTGACGATGTGCAATACTAAAACGAATTAATTTTGTGAGTATATCTTTTTCATTATCAGTAATCATAATAGCAACATCACTTTTATCTTCAATATATTGAATAAGATCATTTTCTGTACATTCACCATCAATAAAATCATTTATATAATCTTCAGTAAAGTCATATGTTTTGTAATTTCTTTTATTTATGTCTATAAGAACTTCAATAAGCTCATCTGTTGATAAATTAGCTTCATTGGAAAATTTTTCAATAATTTCACGAATTAATGTTAATGGTTCATCATCATTTATTTCATTTTTATATTTAATTTTTTCTAATACACGTGCATTGTAATATTTTTGAAATTCATAACACTGTTGAAATGTTCTTTTTTTTTCTTCGTTCATTTGATCGAATCCATCTTTGATTCGTTCAATACATGGTGTTAATAAATGAGCGAATACTTCTTTTAATACTCTATTACTTGATTTTTTTCTAAAGGAAATGATTTAGAAATATTATAGAGAAAACATACAATATTAACATACTGTAACTCGCCAATATTGCTTTTTAATTTGTTGATTTTATCATATAACTTTTTCTTTTCATCATTTAAATGTTTAAAGGAAGAAACTAAATTTTTACTTCCACACTGTAAATCTTTAAAACCAGAAACTAAATTTTGTTTTCTATCATGTAAATCTTTAACTATATCATTTATTATTTTATTTTTACCATGTAAATCATTAATTGCATTATGTAACTCTTGATTTTGTTTTTTGTTTTGATCATTTTCACTACATATATTAGAATATTGATATTGTATTTTTTCTTTTTCTTTTATAATATCATTGAGTTGTAATTCAATCTTATTTAAATGGTCCTAGAAAAGAGAAGGAGAAATAAAAAAAAGACATTCTTAATACTAAAACGCTTACCAACAACTCATGTACGACTTCTTCTATGTGAAATATTATTTCTTGCAACTTGTTTTTTTCAGTATCATTCAGATTCATTAAATCAATCAATTTTTTAGCTTCTAACAATGATTGATGAATATCATTTACATCATATTTTTCGTATGTTGCTGTATTTATGTTTTCAATAACAGACTTCATGTGAATAAAACAACCATATGGTAGACCTGGAATATCTTTACAGTTTTCAATTAAGTTTTCGATTAATTGATTAATCTTATTAACTAAAATAGATATTAAAAAAAAATTAAGTAAAGATTTTATTCGAAATATGAAAAGAAAATGAATCTATAGATGAGTAAGTCCATATAAGATATGAACGGTCTTACATAATCAAGACCATTAGATCTCTATTAAACAAGTACTTCATTGTGTTGATCATGCCTTATATGGATTGATTCGTATAACTTTATTGTTTTAACTTACTTTTCTCTTGTCGAAAATTCTGATGTTCAAAAATTTCTTTTCTATCAATTTCATTTTTGTTTTCTTTTGTATTGTTGTTACTTTCATTAAAACTTGAACTATTTGATCGATTTAATACATCATCATACTGTTTCTAGAATAAATAAGTATTTGTTTTTACAAGAAATTAAAATCAAAATATAAAATTTACCTGTCCATCCAAAAAATTTTGCATGGCCATGAACACGTTTCAAAAAAAACTTGATGATAAAATAGAATTTTTTTTCTACTTTTTCTTTCAAATATTGAGTCTTAATTTTAATCTAAAATAAAAATTTTGATAATTTCAGCTAAATAGTAAAACAAAATAAAAAATAAATTTGAAACTTCGAATTGTATAATTAATTCATTCTAAAAAGTTAAAAAGCTTACGAATGAATCGTTTAAGATGCTCGTTTCGATGTCAATGATTTATTGTTATTGAGAAGATCAGCGCAGGAAAAATGAATCTCTCTAAAGAAGCAACCAAATTAACCAAAAATGATTATAAAATTTATTATGGAACAGTCAACTAGAACTTTTTTATGCACTTATATGCTTAGAAATACATAGAATGATATATATATATATATATCGATCAAATAAGAAATAAAAGGAATTATTGAATAATTCTAAGTGTTGCTTCTTTTTTTATAGTAACAATGAAACAAAAAGACAAAGAGAACTTCGATAGTATTGGTAAACATGATCACGAACAGGAATGAATGATTAGATAAGGCGCCAAACAGACTGAAAAAAGTGAAGTAAGGCTCCGAACAGACTGAACACGATAAAACTGAATTAACCAATACAATTCACATTGCTATGCAAAAAGACCAATCGCGTTTCTTTATTCACTTTGAATTAGTCAGTCTGTTCGGGACCTAACTTAAAGTTGAATTAAGCGATGTGAGTGGTCTATTTCGACTTAAATCATCTTTTCTAGACGATTTATTCGGTAATTCAGTTTTAATTCGTCGTATTTTTGTCAATCTGTTTGGGGCCTAAGTTAGTTAGTGAAAAGTTTTCGTTATATTCGTCGTTAAAAGTAAACTAAATTCAGGATTTCAAAACTACAAATCATACTCCATGATTTACCCTCTTTCGCTTTAATATCAGAAGAATTTCAATTAGAGAGCTGCGGGTCCATGTTTTTTTGGACCCGGACTCGGGCCCCACAAAAACTAAATTTTCAGACCCGGACCCAGTCGGGTCTAGACGCGATCCTTTTTTCACCAATATTTGGCACCCTATGTGTACATGAACAGAAAAGGGAACACAATTTTAGCTCTTTATTGGCGACTTTAAAGGTAAAATGAGTGTAAAATTATTTCTGACTGTTTCTTTTTCAATTTTGTTGACTTCAATTGTTATTGTTATATATTTCCATTCATAATTTAATGCAGACCGGGTCTGACTTTTCTCTTAGGTTTAGATCCGAACCCGGACTCGGGCCCGGGATAAGCTAAATTTTCAGATCCGGACCCGGTCGGACCCGGGTCTGGAAGGACCCGCAGCTCTCTAATTTCAATAGATGTGTCTTGCAATCGAATTAATTTTTTTGGAAAATTCAAGAATTATTTTATCTTTTCCTTCTTCTCATCATCTTGATCATTTTCTCAAAATCAAATGCTAATTATTTTGTGTGCTGATGTTTTCAATAATTGAAATTCGCATTAGTTGAGTCGAAATAGCTAGGTACTCCTTAAGAAGTTGTATAAGATAAATTAATAGACTAACAAAAATCAATATATTTACATTTTGAAAAGATATATTATTAACATTGGAAAAAAATCTCTGTAGAGCTACAAATGCACTCATAAATTATCTGAAGCTAAAGTTTATATCAAATTGAAGCTATGTAGTTTACTGGATAGATAAATATTTATTTCTAACTTATGTTTTACTTTATGCTTTTTTTGTTTTTTTTACTTTGTTTGATATTTTGTAAAAATAAATAGAAAAAATATAATAAGATCATTGAAATATAAATATAGAGATGTTTGATATTGTAGATTTATTGAGCTTGAATACAATCAAAAAAAAATAAATAATCATATGTATAATAATTATCTTAATAAAAACAGTCATTTTTTCCACATAATATAGTTCGAGATAGTATTCTTTTATTTTTATTCCATCTAAATAGAAAGACTATCTACTTTCATCTAATATAATTTCAGATATTGTTCGTTTAATTTTATCTCATCTTTATAGAAATAATCATTTTTTTTTATTTGATGTAGTTATAATTAGTAGTTCTTTCGTTTTATCCAATCTAAATAGAAATAGTCATTTTTTTCCATATCGTATAATTTTCGTTAGTATTAGTCTAGTTTTATCTCAACTAAATAGAAATGATCATTGGTTGCATCTAATATAATTGGAGTTAGTGTTCCTTCTGTTTTATTTCATCTTAATAGAAATAGTCCTTTTTTCAATTTATGTAGCAGAGGCCGTCGCAGGATACTTCTTTCACTCTGCTCTGCCTGTTGCTCTGTCACACTTCGCCTTGTCCTGCCATGAAAATGACTCATACAAAATTTTTTAGCCCTTTCCTGTCCTCAGGGCATGGCGTCCTCAGAGCGCATAAGCTGATGTCGAATAATGCATGGGTTGTTAATCTCATGAAAAATTTTGTTCTTGTTTATATTCAGTGTTTATACCTTTTTTTTTGTATAATTTTAAAAGAATAGTATCCATGTATAAGAACAATCATGAATGTCACTAATAATTGATTGAAATTATACAATTGGTAATCAGCTGTAATCTGATTTTAAACTTATGTCCTTTTTTTCTAATTTGTACGGTTTTTACACACTTTTCTTTTGAAATTTATTAATAAATTTTAATTAATAAAAATTGAAAAATCCTAATCATATTATAAAAAATGCACGAGAAAAGGCTTGACAATAAAAACGATCAATCTTGGCGACTAATAATCAGACTATAATCGACTAAAAATGGTGCCTTTTCATAGGGGCGTAACCAGGAAAAATCCGTAGGGGGGGCTCAGCCCCCCTCCTCAACTGTAAATAACGAAACAACATAATTCTTTGTCTAGTTTTTTATTTCGTATGACGTGTATAAAAATTGAATAGCACATACGAAATCCTATTGAACGTGCTACAAAACGCATATTTACTTGTTACAAACATCCTTTTTCGAAACAACTTATCGAAAATATCGAGAATTTCTTTTGCTCCTACCCGTTACTTACGTTTAGTGCATCCCTACGTCCAAGAGACATATCTGGCGTCAAAATATAAGAAGAGTAAAATGCTTTATACCATATAAACTGTTACTCACCGTTCTTTTCTATACTATTGTGTGGACAATACCACGCAGTGAGAAGTTTTGTTTCTTCTTAGACTCTAAAATTTCTGATGAGATAATAGCGGTATAAAAAGCATTGATTTATTATTTATTCAAGGAGAGGATGCCGCCGAAGACGGCACCTTTTTGGAATGGAATAGAAACGGTTTGACTAAAATATTGTATAGTTCAATGAAATAAAAACTCACGCTTCTGGAGTGACAAGAACGAAATTATAGCACTCATATATGTTCAGCCACTAAACTCCTCTACGCTTTCAATCGCTGTGTTAAAAGTGGAAGATAAACGCGAGGCGTATACAAAGCTTTCCATTGCCTTAGTCACACAGATAAACGAATCATATTTCAAATGCTAATTCGAAATGGAGAGAAGGCTGATCAAAATGAAAACTAATGGGACAGACTTAAGTCGCGAAGCGAAAACTTCTTAAAAATGCAAGAAAAATGTGCATTAGAAATTCATTTTCTAAGGGATTTTCCTTCGAGTTCTGGACTTCTTATTGTTGATGATGCCTGCTGTTATGAATAAGCTGTATGTTGATTTCTATTATTACAAAAATCAAACGTAATTTTCTTTAATAAAAGGGGACAGAAATTTTTCTAGGGGAGGCAAAACCTTTCGTAGGGGGGGCTCAGCCCTCCCTAGCTCCCCTCTGGTTACGCCACTAGTCATCACTAAATCTACAAAAATTTTCTCATAAGATATGCATCAGTCCTAGTGGACACAAAAAAAGCTCTTCTGTTTCAATTTTATTTGTCCATGAAAAGACAGCAAAAACTACAGCAACATCAATTAGAACTAACCTGTTATGTTTTCCCATCAATCATATCTATTTTATTAAATGAGCTGTGTAGTCAACTAGTATGACTTAATCGATTATTATATCGTTTCGGTTATTTCGTAAAAAATCGATAGATTATTTCCCTATGTTTTATATTTGCATTAATGTTAGCGGGTAGATCATTCTTGATCAGTGTAAGAAGAATAGTGTTGACCGCGGAACTACAACTTACTAAGTATTGAATAAAATGAAAAGGCCGCAAGTTCATCTTAGAAGCCAGTCGATTGGTTCAATTGTAACTATACATTTGATGTCAAATTTAAAACTGTAGTCCGATTCACCCTTTTGTGAATCAATATAAGCGTCATTGTGTAAAGCATTTGGGATTTCTCACCTACTTCAACTGTATAAATAATCATGCTAAATATCACGACCTGGCTCACATTATTGTGTTAGAAAGCAGGCGCTTCTGTAGCATCGAATATTCAGTTAACGATGGTGATGAGAATATGAATCTGCACCTTCTTTTCATCCGCACGAAATATCAACGTCCACAACATTATTTTCCATACCTCTACATTGTTCTCTTAAATAATGGGTTTTAAAATATTTAAAAAATGAAGTGGGTTTTGTTGTACATGAGCATGACTTATAATTTCAGTGTTGCTCAAACATCTGCATCAAGTTTTCCTGGGCCTTCCACCGAATTCCCATGGGATTTCCGAGATTAGCACAATTTCAATAGGATTCGAACTCCCGCGAATCCACCGATTCTCCCTTGGTTACTGCACTATGTGACAGACTATAGAGAACTGTTGGAATTTTGTTTGTATTTAGAAGTTTTTGTTCTTATAGCACAATCTGAGAACAGAATAAATAGCATATTCGGAATCAGTCCGAGAAAAAATGCATTGAATTAGATATTTTTTGAAAGAAAATTTTTTTTTACCAAAATCTACTTCTGGTCCCTGTATGCACTTTTCTTTTGAAACATTTCTCCGTGGTCTCCTTGAGATCAATTTTTCATAAAAAAGTTTTTTCTTTCATAAATATCGCAATCGATGTAGTTATTTCGCGCTGATTCCGAATGTGCTATTTATTATGTTCTCGGATTGTGCTATAATGAGAAAAGCTGCTAAATATAAACACTATCTTACCTGATTTGTATAGTTTTGTCATATGGTGCATTAATTGTGATCCCTACTAAATACCCGTTCATGTCTTGCTTTTTCAATAATACATCAAAAGATGAAGAATTTCACGTACTATCAAAACACATAACTTCCTTCTTAAAACTCATTTATGTCATTGAAATATTATTGAAACAGACAAATAGAAAAAGAACAAAATATGCAATTCGAAGAAAACTGACGATAAAATTATCTTTTGTGTGCCTACACTTTTTTCAGTGAATAAATGTAATCCTAGATGTTTATATGTAGGGTTGTTGAGAATTTTATGGACTATCAGAATATATAATTACTTTTCTCAAAATGACAATTTATAGTAGTGATATGTTAAAAATATCGAGCACACACATATATTTTTCTAGACAAGTATTTTTGATAAAAATGCAGGATATTGTCGAAAAACTTTTTTCTATAATAAAATTCAATATCACAAAGTTTTGAGAATGGAATTTCACGTATTTTGATGTGCTCTTTCAAATAAGGTCATTCTCGAATTATTCTTTTGCGCTGATCCGACTAGCTTTATCAAGGTAGGCGTGTTTTCTGAAAATAGTATATAATGCCAAACAACAATTATCCAGTGATGATGTACTTTTAATATCATCAAAAGGATAGCCCATGGTTGATAGTATTTGTGGTTAAAAAATCTCGATTATAATTCTTATTGTTGCTTAGAAAATGAAAATTTACTGAAATGTGTTGCTCTGAAAAGTGCTCAAAATATAGCCTACCCCCTAATACTTGCAATGTCTATATCTCCAGAATGGCTTATCTGTTTGAGCTGAAATTTTGAGTTTCTTCCTTAATGTGTTAGATCTAACTACTGTAAAAATATCAGCCATATAGGCGACATTCATTGCGCAACATCGATCGAGGCTTAGGTGCAATGCCTCCTAAGCAACACCTACATCCATCATCATTACGTGTAATTACATCTTCACTCGCTATCCTAAGTTGTAATCACACCCATGATATGAATGTGGATGAGGATGAGTGTAGATTTGTTTGAATAGAGAGCAAGGAAGATACATGAATATTCGTAACCCCACTGACAGGTACATCGTACTTCGATCTGCACGCAAACCTTAATGTAAAACCATGCACTATTTTTTCGTGGAGTTGTTTCTGATATTTCTTCTGAATTAGTTGACTGTTGGAATCACGAGTCAGATGAGTTCATGTAAGATTATTTCGCGCTTCATTTAGATAAGCGTAGTGATTTTTGTTCTCCCATAGGTCAAGGTGGAAAAATGAATATTGAGTATTGTCATTATTTGACTGAATTAGTCGGAAATCGAAATATGACAGACATGAAAATACGTTTATGTAGCAGTCCTAACCCTCACTGCATCCATCGGAACGTTGCCCAAGTTGTTTTATTTAAGCGACTATTTCTACAAACTCCTTTACTTGTCCATGCGGTTTTGTCAATGTTTGACATGCCGTAAGCTATTGCTTGTACTATTTAAATGTTCAGTTTGTGAAAATCAATATTTTTCCTGTACCTGATAAAAGTCATGATCGCAATGTCTGAATGGAAGTGTTGGCAGAATCGATTACTCCATATGAATTCAATCTCTATTTTCGATCATGGGCTGATTTGGTGACACACGAAGCAACTGCTAACTGGATCGCATGTCCATGAGGAACGTTTGAACCTTGTTTAGCAATACTGTCATAAGGAATCTAATCCTTGTACTTTTTTTTTCTGTAAGGATAATCGAATGAACAAAGACGTAATCTTTAAATTTTTTTTATTTGTTCAATTAAATTTCATGTGAAACGTGCAAAAATTTCTTTGATTTATTCTTCAGTTATACTCATGATTAAATTTCTCATATAAAGTACTCGAACCTAAAGTTAAAATCAATATAAAAGAGAGAAATAAAAAAATTCTGGTTGAGATAACATGATTGAATACGACTGTACATAATAGTAACGTAGTCATAGGTTAAGATGTTCATGTCGATTGTAACTTTTATTTTTCACATTGAGCGTCAAATCCAGTAGTAAATATTAAATTAGATTTTTATTATTTAGATTTATTTTGTCAGTGAGGAAGAGCTTCTGATAATGTGATCATCAACAAGTCATAGAAGATAATCGTAATGTTTATTTCGGAATCCTATGAATCATTCTTGGTTTTTATTTTAAGCTTGTAGAATAGATTATGATAGTGTTGAGATATACGATGTTACCACTAGAACTATGAGAGAAGATATAGAAGGATGATTAACCGAATTGGAATAGAATTCGGCTTACTCAAAGTTGTTTTGCCATAATGAGAACTGTTGCAAACATGTAGCATATGACTTGTTCTGTAAAAGAATTGTTTTCCCATTGTTCTTCATCAAATAGCGTCATCTATATATGATAAATCGTTTTTAGAGACAACAGAAATCGTACATGAAGTATTTTTAATTGGATACATTGAAAAGGAAAAGCTTTTTTTCTTTCGAATTTCGATTTTCATTATCAACTAAATACATATATTTTAGCATGAGTAAATCATCTGAAGTATCTACAAAGAAAGTTGCTTGTTTCGAACCACGAGAACAAGCAATGGATACGCAAAAAAAAGTATTTATATTAAAAAAAAAAAAGAAACTCTTGTTTAGAAAAAGAAAATTTTGATTTTCTATATAGAATGGTACAGATGATCTGGATAAATTGGCTCCAGAAGATATGACATCAAAAGAATATTATCTTGATTCATCAGCTCATTTTGCTGTTCATGAAGTTAGTTTTAAAGAAGTTCTTAATATTTTATTAATTCATCATTGTTTTTTTTTTTGTTCCTTTTAGGAATTATTAAAAGATGAAATTCGTACAAAAACATTTCGTAATGCAATTATTAATAATCGACATTTATTTAAAGATAAAATAGTATTAGATATTGGTTGTGGTGTTGGAATATTTAGTTTATTTGCTGCTAAAGCCGGTGCAAAAATGGTTATTGCTGTAAGAATATTTCTTTTAAATTGAAATAAATATGAATATTATTTAATTAGGTGGAAAAATCGAATGTAATTGAATATGCAAAAAAAATTATTCGTGCAAATCGTTATGATAAAGGTAAATAAACATCTAACTAAACTTTTATATATAAAAAAAAAAAAAAAAAAAAAATTTTAATTTTTTGTTTAGTCATCAAAGTTATTAAAGGTAAAATAGAAGATATTGAATTACCTGAAGGTATTCAACAAGTTGATGTTATCATTGCTGAATGGATGGGTTATTCATTATTTTATGATTCAATTATTCAAAGTGTTATTTATGCAAGAGATAAATATCTTGTAGGTTTATTTGAAAATTTTATTTTTAAACAGATTTAGAGGACTTTAGAAATAGCAAGCTTTTATAAATCGTCAAATTTAATATATGAGATCCTACTATTGCTTTTATCTTTCTAAAGATAATCGTATTTCTTTATTTACAACATAGAGATATGTGATCATAATATTGAATCATGTAAAGCACAGATCGCTTAGAATCGCACTTATTTAATGTAGATACTTGAAAAATCAGCATAAAAGTTGTCTGTTAAATAGAGCTTATTTTTACTAAGCTTATCGTTCGTCATACTATTGAATATTCTTTTAGAAACCTGGTGGTGTTATTTTTCCGGATCGTGCAACAATGTATCTGGTTGGTATTGAAGATCGAGATTATAAAGAAGATAAAGTAGAATGTAAGTTTATCTTTTTTTTTTTTGTTCACTCTTATTGTACATGATATTTATTTAAGGGTGGTCAAATGTTTATGGTTATAATATGAGTTGTTTAAAGAATTATGTCATGCGCGAACCACTAGTCGATACAGTTGATAAACGTCAAATTTGTACAGATCATTTTCCACTTAAAGTATTACATACAAATTTAAAAAAAAATGATTTTCTTCTTAGAAGAAAAAAATTTCTCTTTTTAATTAGACAATTGATCTGAAAACAATGACTATTGATGATATTAATATCGATTCAAAATTTCGACTTACTGCCTTACGCGATGATTATGTTCATGCATTTGTTACTTACTTTGTCGCAGAATTTACCGCATGTTCACAAAGAACAGTAATTAATACTGGTAAGATAATTAAAAGAAAAATTTAATATGTTCTTGTTAGATTTAGTGAACTATTTTGAAACAAGATAGCATATACTTGATTTTATAAAACAATTTTCGTCATATCGAATGATAGATAAAAGCATCAAAAATTTCTATGTTCTCAGGGTACAATTTATTAGATTTGTTCTTTAAATTTAATTCGATAGAATTTCAAGCGCTCTTCAATTTTTTTTAATCAATAGTTTTCATCGTTGGTTTCTTCACACTTAAAAATGTTTCCTTTCCTTAGTTCTAGATTATTTCTTAGCTTATACCCTATTCTAATGTGCTCAACTCTGTATCACAGAGTGAATACATACCAATACGAAACTTTCGTAAGAACTACACACTATCGAGATCTATAGGTTTCATACACAACATATTGTGTATATTGACGATATTTTAATAATACTGAATAGTCTTCTGAAAAGCTTTTATGTATCAACAACGAGCATATAATCCTTGGTAAACTAATATGAATAAGTTCTTTATAAATAGAAAATTTTTTTTTTTTAAATGTACGTGGGATATTTGATAGTTTCTTCTAGAGTTTCATTTATAAAGCAAATCTGGTTACTCGGAATAAGAATTCAAAAAAGAAATAATAACAAGAACAGACATTCTTTCTACAGCTCTATTTCCGTAGTTCTTTTCAAAGATCTGGAAGTCAAAATAACTTTTTCTGTCTACAGTGGTTATCAGAATATCGTCAATATACCAGCCATTTCATATAGGAAAACAGAGTATTCTAGAGAACAATCTTGTGAGTTGACAATGAATATCTACTGTTGTGAAAGACGTTTTCTGTGAAACATATAGAGTTCGATAATTTACAGTTTTTGAAAAAATTTCATGTTAATACTCATTTGTTCTGTTCTACAGAGCTGAACACACTGAAATATCATATAATGAAGAAATAATTTTGAAGTGTGAGGAAAGCAATGATGAAAACTATTGTTTATAGAAAATCGACAAGCACCTATAACTACATCGATTTGAGTTTAAGAAACAAAACTTGCATATGTTTAGGTTAGAACATCTTACGAACCATAATATCTTCGAATACTATATATATTCCTCAAAGATTATAACAAGAATGTGGATCATTAGCATATGAGAATACTTGATTTTTCATATATATTTATTCGATGTACCAGAAATGGATCTATAAAACTACATATATGATATCTTGGTTTCAGATTGATCACCAAGTCTGGCAGTTTTCGTTTGATAAACTATTATTATAATTATTTTTTCTTCTAGCACCTGGTGCCGGTTATACGCATTGGAAACAGACAGTTTTCTATTTTCCTGATTACGCAACAATAAAACATGATGAAGCTTTAGAAGGAACATATTATTGCAAAGTTAATCTTGAAAATACGGTATGTTTATTCATATAAATATTTTCAATGTTAATTTAATTTTTATAGAAAAAACTTGAATTTGGTATTGATTTTCAATTTAATGGTCAACTATCATCTTTAGAAAGTAAAAATCAATACTTCATGAAGGGTTAAAAGCATTTATTATCTGAACAAATTATCAACATTTGTTTTTGCTTTTGTTTGTTTTGTTTTTGTTTTTACTTTGAAATAAGTAAAAAAAGAAAAAAAAAGGATATTATAAACTTTATTGTTTTTCGTTCGTAACATTTTATCATTAAAATCTATAAAATGATTTCATGATAATCCATGAGTATAAGTCTCGATTGGTTCAATCTAAAATGAAAACATCAGTTAAGCAAAATCATAAGTGAATTTTTGAATTTGACTTTATTGAATAGCTTTTGCAAATGGTTTGTATTAATGATAATAACAATAATTTTATTATGAATAATTTTGTGAAGAAAATAATCATGAACTCAAGATTCTCACTTAACATGTATGTTTTCATGCAAAACAAATATGTCTTTCTCTGAATAATGATCTGTTTGATTCATATTTAAACATTTATCAGTCTTCAGTTGGATATAAATTAAGTATTGAAAATACTCACCAAACTATATGAAACCAAAAACATTGTCCACATATTAGCTATGGTGCTAATATTAAAGAAGATGTTTTTTAGTAGTAAAACTCATCAGTAAACATGTTAACCGAAAGCGCTCGTTCATTTACATGTAGAAAATAAAAACTGGTAGTGAACTTTCAATATAATTTACGATTGAAGCTGTTTTTGTTGTATATAAGAAAGTTGTCTGCTTATACTTTACCAAGACATTGATTATAACATGTGCCAAAGAGCAAAGACCAAAAACGGCTATATCATTCAGGAATAAAGCTTTACAATTGGTAAGCAGAGTTGGAGTAGAATTAAAATAGATCTAAAGTGAAATTTCGGATAATCGAGATGGAGTTATATGAGGTTGAAGTAGTACATAGTGGAATTGTCAATCTTGAGATTTTATGCGAAAAACTTATAAAAGAATACATTAAACAGCTACTCATTGATATTAATCAGCGGTTTTATTATACTCAAAGACTGTTGCGTCTTTAAAACTGTATTAGAAGAAGTTCAACTGTGTAGAATTAAAGCTCGAGTAGAACTGAAAAATTAATTAGGAGTGTAAGTTAGAGTTGGAATAGAACTTTAGAAAAAAAAGGATTAGAGTTATGTGACGTTGGCCCAGGACACAGTGAAGTTGGCATAAGAGCGAGACTTTACAGAATAGTTTCCGGCGAATCAATCTCGTATCACCAGATATACAAAAAAAAGTGTCTCTCTTAAAACGTCGAGTACAAATGTATACGAACAAAAATATCGATGGATTAGCAAATCACTTGTTTCAAGAGAGTAATGTGCAATCTACAAAATAGGATATTTACATTTCTTTTTCTGTTTATTTCATTTCTTAAACAAGCATCTCCTTTATATGTGATTCGCTTCAAAATACCGGTTTTTATAACTGTAAAACCTGTAACTTACGAACGATATAAAATAGAAGCATGAACTTTGATGCAAATATGCACAACTACAAGGAAAATAGAATTACCAAAGAAGAAAAGTATTAAAATTATTTGCTATGTTATAGTTTCGATACTCTAAAATATTAATTATCAAAGAAAGTTATAATACATTTAGATACTTTTTGACACTTTCTTTCAAAACAATGATCAATATTCAACTAACAAAAATGATAATAAATCACTCGAATGGCTTAAATGTATAACTTGTTTATTCATTACTCAATTGTTTGTAAAAGCCGAAGAGAAGTGCAGTCTTAATCTCGTGAACTATGATGAAAATGACAACAAGAGAGAAAAAAGAATGAGAAGAGAACAAAGAGTTAGCGATCGAGTGAAGAAATTGCTAAATAAATATGATCACATAAAGCCGAGAGACAATAGAATGACCCGATCGATGACCACACTTGATCGAGAAAGAGACGAAAATAAAGCTCCACTCGTATCTTTCTTTCTTTCGCCTACTTTTACGTCACGTTTCTTCGTCATCGATCCGTATGTGTATGCAATTGTTGATCGTTCATGTTTCATCATTGTTATAATCGACGAAGAAACCACTTTGTAGGGTCTCATACACTTCCAGAATAGTGATACAACGTATAGCCATGAAACTTTCACGATCTCTTCTATTTATATTCTTCTTTAAAAGTAATTATATTATTTTATAATACTAGATACTTATTTATGTTATTAATTTAGTATCTCTTCTTCTTGCTGCCGAAGAAAAATTTAAGATTGTATGTTACTTTGCAAATTGGGGTATAATCAATTTAGTCTTTTTTTACATCATATTTATATTTGTCTGTAATATATATATGTTTTATTCTATAGCTGTAAAACGTCCCGGTGGAGGTTCAATGACTCCTGAAGATATTGATCCTTGTTTGTGTACACATGTTATATATGCTTTTTCTGAAATGGATAATAATCAATTAACACCAATGGAAAAACATGATCTAAAAGATGGAAATCAACCAGGTAAGTATAAACACGAATTATAAATTGTAAACTTTTCATCTTTCTTTTAAAGGCTTTTTTGAACGATTTAATGCTTGGAAAAGTGTTAATAAAAATTTAAAAACTTTACTTGCTGTTGGTGGTTGGGTATGATATTTTTTATAGCAAAAATATTTATTAAAATTGTTTTATAACTTCTATAGGATATGGGCATGAAAGATTTTGCAGGTAAAATAATAAAAATTAATCTCTTGTTTTTGTTTCATATATTATAATATTCTATCTCAATTGTATTGTTAATGAATATTCTTTATATCATACTCGTTCATGATTTATTGAAATATGTCAAATTTTTATTTTAGTTATGCTTTGATTTTGGTTTTTTTTGATAAAATAAATCACATAAGAATTGACATTTACGATCAAACTATCCCAACTGTAATCTATCGTTTGAACTCATATTGGATTCATAAGAAAGTCTCAGCAAGACTAGAAAAATTCTAAAAGAATTCGTGTTTATGGACTTCTGAAGCGGATTTATAAACGGTTTACTGAATTTCTGAAATGAAAGTTGGTCCATAGGAAGATCTGATAACTTTTAGAATATCCTGAAAGTTTCAGTCAAAAGAAATATTCTTTATGATTGAAACTTTCAAAATATTCTAAGATTTATTAGATCTATCTATGAGCAAAATTTTGTTTGTTTGATTTTTCTGATCTTACTGAGACTTCCTTATCATCTAGATATTAGCTCAAACAGCGGACGTCAGTTCAGCTAGTACCCTCGTTAGAAACTCAATAATGTTAGTAAATTTTTATGAGAATCATCCTAAGATCTTATAACAATTCATTGATGAATAATTAGTCTATACAACTATTTTTGCACATTTGATCATCAATGATTCAATTTTACCATAAGAAATTAAAGGATAGACTGATTATAAAATATATTTTATTAATAGGTATTGTTAAATCGGAAAAGACAATGAAAAAATTTGCTGACTCAGCTGTAAAATATTTACGTAAACATAAATTTGATGGTCTTGATCTTGGTAAGTAAATTAATAAAGAAAAAAAAATACCAACTAAATGATAAATTTTATTTATTTTAAGATTTTGAATATCCTGGTAAGAAGTAATTTCACATAAAAATGTTAAATAAAATCATCAAAATAATAGGTGTTGATTGGAGAGATAGTCCAAAAGAAGATAAACAAAGATTTACAAAAATGTGTGAAGTTAGTAAAAGTAAATTATTTTTACAAGTTGATTATCTTTTTTTATATTAGGTTTTATATACAACATTTGAAAAAGAAGCAGAAACAACTGGTAATGAACGTCTTCTTCTAACTGCTGCTGTAGCAGCTGCAAAAGTTAATATTGATAAAGCATATGAAGTTGATAAACTTGTTCCGTAAGTTTAATTATCTTCATTAAAAGAGATTTTGCTAGTCAATCGAGTGTTCATCAACAGAATCATTTTATGGTCGAAATTAAGATATATTCTAATTTTTTTTAAATAAATTGATTTCTAGCATTAGATATAAGTTATGAAAATATTTTTTAGATTCGTACGATTTAATTTGATCGCATTGTAAATATTGAAACATAAGAAACACTGAGAAATGAAAAAAAGGTCATCTCCGTTGCTTCACTTGTCTCGTGTTTGAAACAGCACATGAAACTGGACTGGAACGTCTCCTTTAATGAATCTCATTTTTTGAATAAACCTCGAAGAAGATCAGGAGTGAAGTCTTCTATGAAAAATAAATGTCACAAAGATATTCGGAATACATATATGTCGACTCAGTTGCTAATGCTACTTCAGAATATTATATCAGCTTTTATCAAATTGTCATTGTTCTACCCAAAATCTACTAAATACTAGTCAAAAACGCACAAACTTACGCCTCTCACATAATGCGTTCTCATCTTTTTTGAAACGTTTCTAAAAACTTTTTACTAGTTTTATATAACACAAAATTCTCTACAAGGTCGACTATGGTAAAGTCGCACCCAGTTTAGTAATCGTATTGAAAACTAGGTTACAATCGAAAAAAAAAGTCAGTCTAATAAAAGCGTACTTTTTAAGAAAACTATTCGAAACGTTTTTCTGCAGTTTGATGTGCTCATTCAAATGAGATATAAGGGAAACAATCAAGATCACCTTTTGCCATTTCTCAGAGCTTTGCATCTTTCAATGTTTATCAATACATCAAATCAAATCACAGGAGTTTAAAAATTTATTTTAGAACTTTATTTTATCTTCATTTTGATCATCAAATTGATTTTCTCAATGAACTCGTCTAATGTCTCATAAGACTACAATATCTATTTTTTTTCTATTTTTAGAGTAATTGATTGGTATGTAAAAGTCAAATCAAATTGTTAATCTTCTTCTTCTTTTCTCTCAACAAAAGGTTTAATTTAATGACTTATGATTTTCATGGATCATGGGATCAAAATCGTGCACATCATTCATCACTTAATAGTAAAGATGATGAAAAAGATGATACAATGTATACTGTATGTATCTACATGCATTCTATTTTTTTTCTTTACTCAATTATCTTTCTAAACGTAGGATTTTGCTGTAAAATATTTTCAAAAATTGGGTATGCCAACCAATAAAATGATGTTAGGTGTAGGAACATATGGACGTGGTGATACACCAGCTATGCCTTATACAGGATTCAAAGGCGAAAGTGGTTTTGTTGCATATTATGAAGTAAGAATAGAATTTTTATTTTATTCTGTTGTTTTTTTTTAATTGTGTAAACTTCTAGAGTTGTATTCAAATTGTTTGTGAAAAAATGAAAGAAACATGGGATGCAAAACAACTTGTTCCATATATAGCTGGACCATATAATCAACCGAAAGCTGGTGTAGAAAATGTTCGAAGTATGAAATATAAAGTAAGGAAAACTTAAACCAAAAAAGAAATTGATTAAAGAAAGTGTTTCATTTTTTCTAAAAGGCAAATTATATTAAAAAAAATAATTTGGGTGGAGCTATGATTTGGACACTTGATATGGATGATTTTCGTGGACAATTTTGTTGTCAAGGAAAATTTCCTTTAATAAAAACAATTAAAGCTGTTTTACATGGACAACTTAAATTATTACCAAAAGAAAAAATTTGTTCAACATGTCCAACAAAAGAATATAAAAGTGAAAAATAATATTTCTATGAATAAAAAATTGATGTTTATTTTCATTAGATTTTAAACCTGAAACTCAACCACAAACAACAGAAAAAACAACAAAAAAACCAAAGAAATCAAAACGTGATGCAGATACACCATGTAAGAAAAATATAAATTTATAATATAAAGAAAAAGAAACATTTTCAATTGATATTTTTATTTTCTAGCACCACAAGATGTATGTGAAGAATTAAAAGATGGTCAATGGCCTGATCCATCAGATTGCAAGAGTTATTATTTATGCCGTGGTGTAGGCTCTCAGTGGGGTGAACAAAAACGTGAAGTGTGCTATACTGGTAAGGAGCAGAAGTTTTTAATAATTGATGGAAGCATTAAGGTGACCATTTCTTCTCTTTTCAAAGTTTTTCAGAAACAGCTGGGCAGAAAATTACAAAACTTTCAAGACATACATCTTGATAAATAGAGTGAAAGTGGTCATAGACTCAAAACTTCCAGATGTTTCCTTCAAGAAGATATGGAGATCACTAAGGCCAAGAATGGCCAGAAGTCTCTGCCCACATAACTCTATACTCCTTTTTTTTTGAGGTGCAATTTTGTTTATAACAATCAGAAACAAAACGAGATGCCTCTCTGTTATTTTCTTTCACAAATATCGTTCCTAAAGCACCGAACAAGAAAAATATTGGAAGCACTGTCAAAAACCGTGTTTTTTTTTCAATAGTACTAAGTTTCAAAGGTGGTCAAATTTCATAGGAACAATATTGGAAAAGAAAAAAACCATACGCATTGCACTTTGACTAAAGAACTTATTAGAAATTTGAGCTTTCGCGGAGGTAGCGTGTAGGAGAAAAGAGAGAAAAACTTGGTTTGTTTTGTTCAAAAGTTGATTTTGAGAAAAACGCAAAACAAACTTTTTTATATGTATCAGGACTTCGTTTCCCGACTAAAGTTATCGAAAACTCGCTGTTTTTGAGCGTTGATAGAGGACACTCCAAAGCTACACCAAAAAATCACAAAAAAATTGATTTTAACGTTCTGAAGGAGACCATTTTAAGATTGTCATGTTTTTCTCTTTGAAAGCACTCGATCCATTTCACAGTTTAACCTCAATAAGTGATAATATGAGTGAGTCTTTCATCATGATTCGACAGAAAATATTACATCGTGTTTTTGTCTGATACCATCTCACTGTATCATAAAATTAGAGTTTCACAACAAAAACAGAATTTCTTATTAAATATTAAAAATAGCAATGTGCGGAACCTTGACTTGTGACCAATTTGCAGGTCTTCACATATTAGTTAAAAAACAATCTGATAACAAGCATGAAGACAATGACGAATACTGTAATTCAAAGAAAAGGAAAGTCAATGAAGGAAACTCATATGAAAGTGAAAAAGGAAACTAGTAACCATACGAAGATTAGTGAAGTCGTAATTTATACTAAACAATATTCTTCTCACAATATGATTGGTTTTCTGTTGATTTTAGTTAAGATTAAATCTAAAATATGAATATAATAAAATGGTTTTGGTTTTTCTATTTCAATTGAAATATGAGTGAGATATTAGTGGTGGATTTTAGTTTTTGGAACAGAGGCCAACCATGGTCCCAAAACTTGTTTTGATGTCCATTAGAAATTGAATTGGTTCACTTTTGAAAATTTTTTGCTAAGACTAATTGAACAATCTTTTGGAAAAGAGGCATCATCGCCCTCTCTCTAACACTAACACCGTTTGTGCATAAGATAGATCCCAATAAGATGTTAAAAATAGCAAGAGAATAAGAACACGTAGACCTTACCAACAAAGTTATAGATGTTTTACTGAAGTATTAGCACACAGCATGGCATGTACAGAGAATTGCATAACAATATTTTGATATGAAATTTTGCTTATCGCTAGACCTATTTATGACTAGATCGTTCTCTTCATGGAATATCGAGTTTCCAAAAATGACTTGTTTTGGAAATTCAATATCTCACGATGAGAACATGATTTTGAGCCAATATTTTCAGGACATTCTAGTTACGACTAAATCTATCTAGGGATAACATTTCAGATCAAAATATCGTCATTCAATTCTTTTTGTGAATTCCATGCTATAGACTGGAACTTCAGTAAAACATGTAAGCCTCTGTAGAAAAGGCCTAAGTGCCCTTGCCTTTTTGAAGCTTTTAATAGCTCATTGGAGTCTACCTTATGCACAGAGTTCGAATTCGAAAAATAACTTTCACATTGAGAAATTCTCTCATAAGTTAAACTCGAAATACTAGTAAACTCAGATTGATCGAGAAATAACCTTCAAATAAAAATTTTCGAAAGTAATCAAGTCCTATCGCGCAAGGATATACATAGCAAATGATATGTTGAATAGATGTTATTATATATTTCTTTTTCAGGTGCTTATTTTGATCCAAATGAAAAAACATGTAAATGGGTTGGCATGGATAAAGTCTGTTTATCGCTTTTAGTTCTTTTTTCTTTACCAATATTTTTTCATTAGCTTAATTGTGAAGAACTTGTCGAAGGTTATGAAAATCCTGTAGCTGGTGTTACACGATCAACTGATGAACCAGAAGATGATGATGATGGTGCAGATGATGATGATACATCAACTGATGCAGGTGCCTCATCAAAAAAGAAAAAAACTAAAGCACCATCAACTAAATCAATATCCATATTAAGTCGAACAACATCGGAATTTGAAACATGTGCAGCAGAAAAACCAGTTGAATTCGATCCTGTACAAGGTAATAAACATATTCCTTTTTCCTTTTCGACATGACTCGCTTCATCTACTATAGCCTTCTATAGGTATGCTATGTTACTCTTGCGAAAGTCAGAAAGAGAACAGCGATTGCCAAATCAGTCCGAATCAGACGACATCGATTATGTGCGAAACGAAACAACAAATTTGCTACAGCAAAAAAGCCATAAACGTCGCCGGTAAAAGAAAAATCAAAAAATATTGTTTATGTTTCTCGAATAAAATACATAATTGTATATAGGAAAACTACTACAATTCAGTCGTGGTTGTTCAATGCCTCCACCATCGACAGGCAATCTCACTCAACAAGCACAATGTCTGTCAAGCAAAGCAGAAGGCAAGACAATATGCGTGAAATATTGCCAAACCAGTCTTTGCAACAATCAGGACATAAGGTTATTTTTCTTAAAGATTTATTAAATAAATACTTATATATTTTCTTTTAGCGATGGCGCTTTGGCCGTTACAGTCAGACGAATAACACACGTCGTCTATTACCTATTAGCTTTATTAATAATTGTCATATCAACAGATCATCATTATTAATCATGACAATATGCATAACTGTTATAGCCCGAGAACTAAATTTTTTTGTTTCTCACTAATCATTGCTTTGTTTATTTGTTTCTTTCTTTTCTTTTCTGTATCTGTTTGATCTTTTGTTTTCTTGCATCAATCAAAGAGCAATACTCAACAAATTTTCACTTGTTATCTTGTTAAAGGATTTTGTTTTTTTTTTTTCTTTATCAAGAAGAAAAAAAAATGCTTGTATGAATCGTGCCATACTTCAAGAAATCCGACATGAAGAATATGATGACATAACAAATCAAATTCATATCTATAGAATATATTAATCTCGAACAAATAGAAACCAGTATTAATAATATCAAAGATAAAAATTCAAGGTGTACCATAAGTGTTTCACATTAGAGAACTTCAGATTAAGATTTTTTGTACTCTAGCTGAAAAAAATGCTCTAATTCTTATTCTACTGTGTCCTACCTTCCAACATAGTTATCCTAGCCTAGAGGATATGATAGGGGTAACCCTGCGCATCTCTATTTAACATTCTATTATTGGTAAAAACTTATTAGATTTCACTTTTTTTGGAGTTTTGAAAATAAATAGTGTAAGTTCATTACTCTAATGTTTTGCTGATAGGTACTTGAGAGAAGATGTTTTTGATAAGAAAATCTCATCATCGGAAAGTCGCTTACTTTTTTCAATACTCTAATGGAAACATCGTTCGCAATTTACATATAACTATTTTTTTAAATTCTTTATGATGTCAATAGAAAAAATAATTTATTGTTATTAGTTGATATTTGTCTTTAGGATCGAGGCAAGAATCATTTCTGGAAAGAGATTTATCAAAAAGAAAAACGAAATGAATATGTAATCCTTTTTCGTTTTCTTCAATTATAAGTTTCATGGTCAACTTATGTATAAAATAGTATTGAGCAAAAAAAATGGGTCCGTCAAATTGAAACCATATGAAAGTACAGAAAAAATTTTTCTTTTTTGTTCTCTATTACTAAAAATAGAGAAGTGGATAAAAGATTGTTAAAAGAGAGCTGGAGAAAAAAAACGAAATATGTTCTTATGTGCCCTTGTACACTATCGGTTGATTACATGTTGTCCTTGTTGCTCCATCTCGTCGACATCGCCTATTATAAAAAAAAGAATCATACGATATCGCATATGTACTTTTATTAGAACTTTTTATGATACTTTCATTCTAATTGAAATACTTTTTATCGTCTAGTCTTTTTTCACAAGCAAAACAGCTTTGATTTCAAATGTAGATAAAAATTATTTCATTGAAAAGATTTTTATTTCTAATGGCGATATGGATACAACATCATTAATTATGTATATATAATTAGATAAAATAATATTTTTTCTTTTCATTTTAAATGACTTTTTTTTTTCTTTTTAACCCCTTAGCATTACATGTGTACTTATTCCGGCTCTACTAGCTATCGGTATTTGTGCTATTATAGTTTGTTCAAATTATGATAGAGATCGAAAACTTCATCGTCAAAGAGGTATGAAATTATTTTTATTTGCATAGAAATATTATGTAATTGTTAAAAAATCTAAAGTATTAATTAAGAAAAAAAAAAAACTTGAATTATTATTTCCATAGGTTCCTTCTCATTAGTACATATTCAAAACTGAAAATTGTATGTGAAAGTGTTTTGAACTTTCGCAGAACTTCTTAAAATTAAATCATATATATGATACAATCTGTCAAATTGAAATGTTCCTTATGAATAATGTGTTTTTAAAGATATACTACTAATTTAATATAAAGTTATTACAGAACAAATGCAATATATTAATGTAATCACTCAGAACCACAGCGAAAAGATTTAGCTCAAGTGCAATAATATCTTATGCTTAAATTAAACTTTTTCCATCGACCATCTCGTTATTCTTTTTACAATATCGAGATGTTTCTATTTGAACAAAGGAAGAATGTTTCAAAATATTTCTCTTCCCGTACATTGATATCTAGGACCTGGCAGACAGTAATTCTTTCAGCAATGTACCGAATTTGACATTGACTTCATCAGAATCATATCACACTTTCAAAAGTACTAGAACTTGAAATTCTAATTCTTAAAGTTATCTTCAAAAACTAGTTTTTCCTAGTGTCCACTGTAGAAAAAAAAATCAATTTCTAACGTTTTCTGATTCTAAATTATAGAAGTCTGAAGTTTATTTGTATTGAAAAGGTTTCTAGAAAAATTGTTTTTTTTTTCTCAGCTTTTTCGCAATATAATTTCCCTTTGTAAGTAATTAAAGTTAATTATATGCGTTATAATCATATTTATAGGAAATATTCCAAAATTTGATGATCGGAAGCCCTTAAAGCATCATTTAAGAACCGTCTGAAAATGAATGCAAAATTAAAGACATCAAATTTAAGTATTTTTGAAAGTTTAAAATTGTTCTGATGAAGTCGATATAATTAATGATAGTACGTTTTCCAAATAATCATTCTAAAATAGAATGTGTATGTAAAAGGTCTTTGCACAACATGTCTAGATAATTTTCTTTCAGTTAAAAGTCATCGGAAAGAACTAAAGCTTCATGTTTGTTCGAACTATAGATTCAGATTTTTTTTTTGGCCTAAAGTGCTTTCACTGAAAGCAAATCTCTGATCAGAATGCTGATATTAAATTTTCAAGTAGTTCTGTTTTACATTTTTATCAAGAGTGCTTCAATCCAAAACTATAAGAAAGGCTTGTTCTTTAATATACTTAATTTGCTTCACATTTTAAATATTGCTACAAACAATCGAAATCAATTGTATTCAAAACACTGTAATTCGAAAAATGTTTCTATATTAAGATTGTTTCAAGATCTAGTATTATAATTATCTGCACAATATTTTGAAGATTTTATTCGAATATTTGTACTAAGTGAAAATCGAAAAGTCTTACTTTCAAAAAATTTTTTTTTTTCTCGATAATCTCGTAAAAATATATTGTAAAACATTATGTTGTTCGTTTTTAGGTTCATCTTTTGTATGCCATCATTTACATGAACGAGTACCTCAAGATAACTATATAATTGATTTTCCACGTACTAATCGCTATCAACAACAATGGCGTTTACGTGAACCTCCACCTGTATTTGAAGAATCATCACCATCATATGACATTTCTGTTAATCAAATAGGAAGACAACAATTACCAGTATTTACATCTATTCGTACAACACCATTAACAACAAATGTTCAACAATCGTCGCCTACTAGGACGTCATCTGGACATGCAACAATGCCACCTTCTTATGCTGAAATTTTTTTAACACCTTATACATTAACAAATCGATGATAAATCTTTACTTTTTAATCATTTTTATCGAAATATACATTGACTTCTTAGGTTTTCTATCTATATTTTTTTCATACTTTAATTTATGATCATCTATACAATGTAGTTTTTGAAAAATATAAAAAGTATGAAACGACAAATGAATTATTCTATTATTATTAGATACTATATCATTAATAAAATTCAGCATTAGAGAAAAAAGTCTTGCGTCTTACAATTTAGTGAATGAAATACACTAAAAGCTATTGTGAAGTGTTCTGATACTGCTTAACAAATGAGACAATACTAGAGATAGGATTAAATGTTTTCAATAAATGAAATAGTCACTACTTGGAATGATTCTAAGATGTTAGTTTTGATGGGCTCGATTTGTTCAGCTAGCAATAATTAAATATTTGTAACATATAAATGAAAATTTCATTTCAAATAATTGAACAGATACCATCAATTACAGTACACAAGAAACGATCATCGCATGCAGAGCTTGTGAGGTCTGATATTTTTTAACTCACAATTAGGCTTAGTCGGACCGTACTTTAATACTTTCTATTAAGTTTTCTAATTGAAATTGAATAGTCATCCTGACGATACAAGATACCTTTTCTTCGACCGGTTTTTATTCGATGGCTTGCGCACCCTATAGATTTCTTAGACGAGTAGAGGTCATCAGGTAGTGTCTTGCGAGAACAACTGTTTGGTTCTTATTTCCTGTTCTCGTAGAAAAAAAAGTTGCAGTTCCCGAAAGAATATTTTTTGTATTTGTTCACGTTCCCGTAATGCTTTCGGAGTTCCTATTGTTATTTAATTTTGTGTTTGAAAAATCCTATTATTACGAGACATTAGTTTCTGCCAATGTCTCACTTTGTCCAACATGAGATATTGTAAAAATTAAAAAGAAAATCATCGTTAGAGATGTGTTTTAGTAAAATAAATCAATGATTATTTATATGTCAAAACTTGTCAACATACAGTTAAGAGAATTATTTTCTTTATCAACTGAACAATTGAAAGGAGAAAAACAGGGTACCATATCAATAATACGATGAAAAAATAGAAGCATTTAAGAAGAGTAGATAATACTGCTATACTGCGAGATAATCTGAAACACACTCCTTCCGAACGTGAAAATAATAGAGAAAAAAAATTGTTAATCTTAATAATATTCTAATGAAAAATAAATGAACTGGTCTTAGTTTTGTTAATAGTTATTTTGTATTTCTTTTTTAATTAATAAGCAATGCAAATGTCTTTGGAAGAATATCAAAAACCATTTCTTTACAATGTAACATCGTATTAACTACAGCATTTTTTTTGAAAAAGCAACCCACAGGACGTTACCATTAAGTCCAAAAATGTTGGGCTCAAACTCAACTCAGATCTGGCCGGGTTCAGGCTCAGATCCAACTCAATGGGCTCTACTTATGAGATTACAATGTGAAACACAATATAGGTGTTGTTGGTAATCGTAGAGAGATTATTTCGGGAAACATTTATTCACCATCGTTTTATGTAATTCGCCAGAAATTCAATAAGAAAGCGGTTCATATATTATTAAGAGACATTATTGATATACGATTTTGATCGTAAATCAACAATATCTGTCACGGTCTGTGGAAGAGAGGAGCCAAATTTTTACCTTGGTTTCCAAGTTACTGAAAACACTAGTGGAAGTTAATATGTTGTCAAAAGTTTTAAGTAACGAGAGAACTATCCGAACTGATACTCGTTGTTTGAGCTTATACTGTATGTACAAGAAAACCTAAGTAAGGCTAGAAAAACTAAAACAGTCCGTGCCGATAAGCCTCAGAAGTCGAGTTATGGCTGGTTTACTGAATTTTTGATACAGCTTTAGGTATTTACTAAATAATCAAGCAACAAAACATTGTCATAGATATGCCTAATAACTCAAAGAATACCCTGAAAGTTTCAGCCGAAAACGATGTTCCTTTATCGAGATATTAAATTTTGCAAAAAAAAAAAGGTAGTTTGCCACAAAAGTCGGTTGAAAATTCAGTATCTCGATAAAAGAACATTCTTTTTGACTGAAGCTTACAGGATATTCTCAGAATCATTCAACCTGTGTATGGATGAAATTTCATTATTGACTTTTTCGGTAAATACCTACAGCTGGAGCGAAAACTCAGTAAAACAGTCATAACTTGTCTTCAGAGGCTCATAAACACAAAGCTTTTAGATTTTTTCTATTCTCATTGAATATTATCTCATTATGAACTTAATACGAGCTTCAACAGTGGGTATCACTTTTGGTAGTTCCCTCGTTTTATGAGCAAGTACCGAAAAATAAATCAATCCTTTCGTTACTATGTATGCCATTTTTCTTGTTCACTTTTCTTCATTGACACATCTAAATATTGATTTAAGTTTGATCAATTTATTCAAGAGTCAAAATTGATTGGCCAATTTTCAACACAAACTCGAATTGAATGTATCTCTATTAGAACTAGAAACATTGTTTTTGTTATAGTTGCATTTAACAAATAATCACTAGATCCGGCAAGTTTCATGTATATCAGAAGTTAAAAAATACAGTTTTATCTCGAATCTGTGAAACTGCTCTGTTCAAATAATGCTTTCACATATTTAATCTAAACCTTGAGCCGACAAATGGTTGATCTCTAAAAATAGGTAATCTAAGGATGGTGCAACAAAATAACAACCCTTTTAATGTATACTGAGCAACACTAATCGAAGATTTATGAGGTATACGGCCAAAAAAACCTTTATCGAGACACAATTTCAAACTAATTAGCTTATGGAATAACAAGGTCAAAATCAAACATATTAAATATTAATGAAATGTTCCAAAAAATACGACATTAAAGAGTTCATTAAATAGACATTAGAAGTAAAATTAATGTCATAGATTTCGCTGACTCAATGCATTTTTTTTCTCTATTTTTCTTGTCAAAGAAATCACAATGCAAAAATTGTTTTTTCAAAATATTCGACTATTTATTTGCTTAAAAGTTTGTCAAAAATAACGTGAAATGTGTCTTTATATTTACAGTTGCTACAACAACAAAAAAATTCACCTTGAAATCATAAGATACATCAACTAAATATTTGTTGAGTATCGTAATCAAATCATTAACATATTATTATTGAGTACGAAGAAATATTCGAATAGAAATAAACTTGGAAATATGATACAAATTAAAACAAACACAATCTGAATAATTATCATATTAAATTAGCCTTCATTTTACTCTAAATCACTGACACATATTATATAATTCGATTTGTTTTTAGTATTTTTTGCATCCGCCAGAATCATAATATTTTTGATCTTTGATTCTGTCAACGAAAAGCGAAAAAAAAAAAAGTATTACTGTGAAAAAAAAGAATATCGAAAGAAGTGTCAACTCGTGCATTATTTTGATGTTGCGTCTGTTTTGATTTTGGCATTTGTCGTTCTTAGTTATTAGTTTTTTTTTCTCCATATTTGATACACACAAAATCAATACCAAAGTTTTTCGTTGTACGAAGGAAAGGAACATACGAATCAATATCATTCTTCAGTTAAACTAGAGCTTATCTAGGCACGTCAATGTAGGTGTCTGTACTTATCATGTTAAAAAGAAAAGAAGGAAAGAAAGAAAAAAAAGAAATCAAATCAAGAAAAAAATTGAGGAGGTGTAGGCATGATTTCTTTTTTTTTCTGTCATCAATCACACTTATACGACTCAGTAAGCCTTACAGTGGTACGTGCCACAAATAAAGAAAAGTACATTAGTGAAATATCTAAACAATTGCAACTAAAACGTTTATTCTCTATCATTAACATATATCAGCAATTAAATTATGTTCGTGGAACATCCACCATTAGGAGGTGGTGGTGGAGGTGTTGGTCATTCTTTAGCACCATCAACTACACGATCTAGTAGTAATGAACCTGCAGCATACAGCAATTCATCATTTGATCATAATACATTTGTACTTATGTAAGCTTTCAATGCTACTTCTTTTCTATTAAAAACGAAGAAAACAAAACTATGATTTTCTAAACAAAAATAAAACAAAAAAGATTAGGAGTTTTTTCTTTCTTATTGTTCGCTATCAGATATATGTAATAAATATTTAATTAATAATATTTTTCGTAGCATATTCTATTAGTGAATATCAAATAACAATAATAAATAAATAAATGAAATACTCATTTATTCGTTCGTCTTTTATTGCAGGGTTTTAGCCATTCTTATTCCAATTGCTTTTGCCATGATTCTTTGTATTGTTACATATTGGATCTATAGATACAACAAAAGAATATCTTTAAGAACATCAACAAATGCTTCAATAGGTACATAATTGAATGTAAAATATTCTTGATAATCATCATTCTTAAATTCTTTCTAGTACCGCCCGATCGATTTGATGCTCGTGCTGCTACAGTTATTTATAATACTCAACATAGTCCATTTATTTTCGAAGAATCACCGCCTTCATATGATTCATTAGGAGATATTAAAAAAGCTTTACCTAGTAATACAACAACAACAACAAATACAAATCAATCATTGCCATCGACAATATTACCTAATACAACATTGGCAGATACTAATGAAAGTATAGAAGCAGCAGCAATTATTCCAACAGCGCCTACTCCACCACCATCTTATATCAATCTTGATGAATCAAATAAATCATAGACTACTATTACATCTCATTGAACAGTATTTATATTTCGATTGGATAAGTTTATGTATATATTCTTTATGGTGAATGATATTGGTTATTTTCAAAGTCTTCCATTTTTTTCTATTAAAATACAGACAGTGAAATTAATTTTCATAATAAATTAGCAAAATTAGTGGGACATTTAACACAAATTGTAACATATTTTATCAGTTAGAATAAACTTCTAATCTCAATTTGTTAATGAGAATCTATTTAGGTCTATTCATTGATAATGCATAATAGATTTAACCTTTACTAAAATAGAATCATAATCGCGACGAGTTAGCTCTTACAACATACTCATGTGGAATTCTGAGCATTCGATTACTGCAATCGTATACTCATTCGATAATGTCATACAAGCGATTAATATGAATTAATAATCATTTGAATACTTTTTTTTGTAAACAAATCTAATATTTAATATCATAGAAATAAAACATGGATGAGTAAAAAGAAAATGCATAGAAATATTTCATTTTATTATTTAGTTTCCTAATATATCTGTGTCAACAATAATTAGTCATATTTCATTTGATTTTCTTGCTGTCGATATTAATAAATATTTTGTCTTTGAATGTCAAACAACCTTCTGAATATCCATAGAAAAGTAGGAGTTTTCTTTTTTGTCTATAAAATATTTGATCTAATTATAAAACAAAACACGCCGTCATTTTACGATCTTCTATTTTATCTATGAAAAAAAAAAAAAATATAAACACTAGCCTGAGCAATCTAGGATAATTTCTTTTATTGTTTATTGTTTATAGGTTAATATAAGGGATACATGAACATGAGAAAAAGAAAAAAGAATTTTTCTGTTCTTACTAGTGAATAGTTGTGAAAAAAAAACTTGAATTTCTTTAGTAGAAACACTAAAAAAAAGGGTCTGTTGTAAAAAAAAAAAAAAGTACTTCTTTTTCTTTTACTTCAAAGAGGTATTATTTCATGCCATACGGAACGCCAAAAAAAAAAGATGATTTTTTTTTTGCTTTTTCTTTATTAAACAGAATCGAAAATAAAGCAAATATACTTTTAGTCGATCATATATTCACATGTAAGCGTTAACAAAAGTAAAAACATGAATATGGGAATTGCTACTAGTTTATGTCTATTATTCTTCCAGCAACTATTGGTTGTCAAGGTTATATATTAAAGTATGACTTTATTATTTTTGAAATATATATTAATAGATTCAAGCAAAGGAACAATGCAAATATTATTATGCAAATGGCACACAATCAACTATTTTGTAAATTAAAAAAAAAATATATTTTATATTGAATGACAAAAATAATTTTCTCTTTGTTTTTTTTTAAATAAAAGTTGTAGCGATGATTGTTGTTCATCAATAGCTTCATCGGCTGAAACAGCATGTTGTTCAAGCATTTCTTGGAGTTCATTGTAAGTATTTTTTTTTATGTAGTTGTTTTGTTTTTTTTATATTCATGACATTTGTTTTTCTAGAGCAATTCCTTTTTTTATTGTTGCTGGAATTTGTTTTCTTGCTATTTGTTTCATTTATTGTCGGCCATTATGGAAAGTGTGTTTATGTGGACATCGATGTCCTTTTAGTAGCCGAACTCAAGGTATATAACTTTTTTTCTTCTTATAATGTAAACGATTTCAATTATAATTTAGTTAATTCATCAACTTCTGCGACAGTTAATGATAATCCGATTCATGTAATGAACAACGATGATTTACCCGATTATGAAACGATTATAAAAGATTCAACGATGAAAGAATCAACACCACCACCATATAATTTTGTTGCTTCACATCCAAATGATTTTGGTATTGAAACACGTGTTCCAAGTGCACCACCTCGATATTATTCTAGACATAACTCTGTAGTTACAATTAATACAAACATTCCTATCGAATCATAATCTATATGTATATTGTCTAAAATAATATATATTTTTCCTTTTAACTCGGTGCTCAATTAACTAGTTTCTTGACACTATCTCATTGTTTTGGTTCTTATGCTTTGTTTTTGCTCACTGTAAATGATACAATATTTTGTGATTTCTACGAACAATATTTTTTTTTATATTAAAGAAAAACAATTCTAAGATTTTTGTTTTTGCATCGATACTTCTTATTATATATTAAGAATGTCATCATTGATACAGCGACACACATATTTAAAAAAAGAAGCTATTCGATAGCTGAAGGGTTTACAAAGGTAAATATCAAAGACAGAAAACAGGAAGACAGTAAGCAGTATGATCTTCCCCACGAGGAACAACATGATTTCTTTGATCATTAGTCATGAGTTGATCTTTTTAAAGAGAAAATGATGGTTACGAACTTGAACTCCTTTATGTTCTTGTCATCTTGTCCTAATCGTATTTGAATAAACTATAAATTCAGTATGACACTCAATGTATGTGTATAAATATAGCACCTGGAAATAATTCATTTTCTTTGATAGCTTTTCTACTACTTAGCAATTATATATCATTTTTCTAATGCTTTTCGTAGTTAAATCAACACTTAATTATCCTTATTTAATGTCAGCTGATATACTTTAATTCAATAAAAACAAAGTATTTAGTACATCTATTAGTCGATATGATAATACTTGAAACAGTTAATCGAGATTCATTCGATAATTTCAATTACATTAGAAAGTCATAATATCAGACATATAAGATTTCTGTTTTATTAGTACATGTATATATAATATTGAACGGAAATGAACTTTTTCTGTATATTCTAGGTACTATTTTAATACTCAAGAATACAATAAGAAGAAATGAAAAATATGTTGTTGTCTGTTTATCTTTAGTTCCGATATGCTTGTAAACATATTCTATACGTGCAGATGGTGTAGCTTATTTCGTTTAGACTAAACGACGCCTATGACATGCTGTTTATAACAAGCAAAAAAAAACGATATATACTATGATAATAGGAAGAGAAGAAGTTCGTCGCAATGATTATTAGATACCTGCAGTCGACGCCAATATCATGCAGATGAAAATGACCGACGCCAAAATCTAATTAGATAAATTTATTTTAAAGATGATTCATGATTAATATATTCACTAGATAGACGTCATGTTTTTCTTACGTTTAATTTTTCGGTCACTTTGATTTTTAGATAGTAACATTTGTTTTTTTAATAATTATATTCAATGAACAATTGAATAGACATGATTTTTCTATTCCTATTGTTCCCCAATGAATAGTATGTCTAGTCATCATATATATATATATATATATATTCGGCATCTTTTTGAACAAGAAGATGAACACGTGGCAGTTTGCAAACATTGACAGGTATATAAAATTAACGCGGTAGAACATCAAATAGCAAAAAGTATTGTCAATCGAGACATTTTACTTTAAAAAAAAAAGACAAAAAACGTCCTCGCAAATGATGAGTAAATTCATGTCTCAATTGACCTCTTATAGCGGAGAACAATGCCAGTATGATCTATTATTAGTATTCTTAATGTTAATGATGTCTGTTAGAAAAAAAAAAAGTGCCATATAAGGATAGGTGAGAGTCTTTTTTGTGCTCTATTGAATGAGCAGCTTATTATTTTTCTCTACACAATCTATTGACACCTATTCAATCGTATTTGTGTGTATGTGTTGTATTGTTTTCATTGACTACACAAAACAACTTTTTTTTTTCTAACAAAAACACGAGAAAGAAACTATTGAATTAAAAATTGAATGAAATCACGTATTGAAAGACTCCGCCCATCAATATAATCGATAGCTATTTTTCATGTATCACACATATGTGAAAATCAATTTGTAAAGAACATGTTAGTATACATCCTTCAATATCCGTAAGGTACTCTTAGCTCGATTTTTCTATTTGTTAAATAAATTTTTGACCTTGAATTGTTAAGGGTACTGTGCACTTTTCAATGCCAAAGAAATGTAAATAGAAAAATAATCATGACAATAATAAGAATTGCATACCTATTTTTACTTCAATAATTTGTATTTGTATTTCTTTCTCTTTTTGTTTTCTATGACATCAGCAAGAATATTTCAAACATAAAGAAAAAAGAACTCGGTCAATCCATATCCATTATGATAACTACTGTCTAGATGAATCTTTTTGATCGGCAAGACATAAGTTAATAAAGCGTGTTCACTTTGATATATGAGAAGAATCTTATTCATTATTGTTCTTTTAAACACAGCATGATAAACTGATACATAAACATTTTACAAGATCAAACATGATGACTTTTGTTAAAAATACTATTTATTTCGATAGATTTTTGAGTAAAATACTATTTTATTTACTTCATCAACGTATGCTTCTCATTTGACACTATCATCAATCAATTGATTGATTGATCCTACTTAACACTCAATTATCTTTTATTTACTATTCGTGGATAACATATATGTCCTATTTCACTTACTAACTACTTAAGGGATTACTTCTCCATTCTATGCTAATATAGGCTAAATATAATGTGAATTAATTAATTCTCTCTATAGAATGTATCTTTTTTTTCTCGTGATGATAAACAGTGTATTTATGAAAGATAATAGAAAAAAATCAATCATCATTTTCACACTTATTGTGCTTTATTTTCAGATAAAGATAATCAAGTAAATTCACATACATGCTCAAAAAAAATATTTAATATGTATACGATAAATGTAACTCTTGGATTTTGATCACTAAACAATGTTCAAATTAGAATAGAGAAAATTCTTAGACTCGATTTATTTTATTTTCATACACGATGTATTTCCATGATAAACAGCAAATCAAGAGAAACTATTCTTTTCGAAATCAATTAATCTTCAATTTTGCTCTTTTGTTATTAACTGTATCTATTAACAAATCTCTCATTATCTACTGTGAATAAGACGTATCCTCTAGAAAGGAAAAGAATCAACATTTATCCGAACGAATGGAAACAAGTAGCGGTCAAATAATCAGCAAAAAAAGGAGGAGAACAAGAAAAAGTAATTGTCGTTCTCTGTTGCTAGACAACATATACGAAAAGTTGACCGTAAGAAGAAAAGGAAAGGACAAAAGAAAGACGAAATCTTTCTTTCGCTTATGTTCAATATCTCATTATACTCAAGAGAAAGAGAACGATAGAAAAGGAAAGAGAAATACAATTATAGATTGTTTCTCTCGTCATCGACAAACATAAATTATCGAGTAGTGACCCTCAATCATTCATTCTATCAAAAACACGATTATATATCGGTTGCTTGTGGACACTTGTTATTGACGTGTTGATATCTCACACCATCTATACGTACGAGGCCGCTATATAACAAGGTGTTATAATGACAACTACAACAATATTTCCATTTTCTATTATAACACATAAAACAAAGATGATTGTTCATATTAATAAAAAATCTCAATTATCATATTCAAATTTACCTGATATTGTTAATGATTGTGAACAACAACTACAACGACAAATTCATAATATTACAAATGATGATACTATGAAAATAACTTGTAAACAAATTGCACATTCGCTTCGCCTTGTTGCTGATCAAGTTGATAAAAAATATTGTCAAGTAAGTTATTAAATAATTATTATTATTTTAATTAAATTTATTTTTATCTATTTAGGATACTGATTTCAATCGAAATCTTCATTATTTATCAATACGTTTTATGTTTCATTCAATATTTTGTACATTATGGACACGTTCATTGTTATCATATATTCTTCTTTTTTGCAAAACAAAAATATTCTTATATTAAAATAATTATCTAATTACATTATTGTTTTAGTCGTTTTTTCTTTGTTTTTGGTCTTTTTATATTCATATTGAAAAAAAAATGTTTATTTGTTCTATAAAGAGAACAGTGTGCTATGTAATGTTTGTATTTATTTAAAGTCAAAAAATATATATGATATGAATCGATGACTGATCAATCTTTCGATATTGATGATCAAAATTATTATTTTGTACATATTCAATGAAAAACATTTTAAAAAAAATTAGATTTAGAGGCATATCGATTAGATTTGCGTCGGACAGCCGATCAACTGTAAAATGGTTTTTAGAAAAAAAAATACTATGTCGCTAGTAAAAAAATGTAGACATTGAATTTTTAAAGCTACATTGTCATGAATCACTCTTGTTTGATGATTCTATATCAGAGACGGTCATCAGGGCAGGGCTGCCCTGATGCCCTGACGCCCTGCCCTGCCCTGTCCTACAGGGCAAAGCTTTTTTTTGCCCTGCCCTGCTTGCACTGCAGGGCGATCAGTGAAAAGTACAGGGCAGGACAGGGCAAATTTTTTTTGCCCTGGTAAATTTTGTACCTACACTAAAATTATTCTTCTTTTTCTACGTGAAACGCTTTTCTTCTTTGTTTTTTACGTGTAACACTTACTTTACGTAAAACATTTTCACTTTTGTACATGAAACAATTTCTTTTCTATGTCAAACATTTTCATTTGTTTTTTTTACGTCCCATACAGATATTCCAGGTTTTGTTATTGTATTTCTATTAATCCTATTGATAAATACATATTTTTTCTTTCGGATATTGTATTGCCAGGTTGTAACAGTGTTTTGAAATAATTTAAATAAAGTGTTGGTACAGAAAAGAGGAGGAATCTTGAAACTTTTCTCATGCTAGGAAGCTCTTAAGTTATCAGTCATGTTTCCAGATATAAGATCAGTCTGTAGGCCCTGAGGGCGCCCTGCCCTGTCCTCAGAGCAAGGCAGGGCAGGGCAGGACAAAAAGTTTTCTTGCGCCTTATAACCAGGGCAGGACAGGGCAAAAAAGTGCCCTGTGACGGTCTCTGTTCTATATGACTTTGAGAAATTATAAAAAGATTCATTCTATGTAATGAGTTCAATTTTTAGAGGAACACTATCGAATGATAGAATCTTCGAAAGCTACTGAAGATTTTAA